TTTGCATACAGCACGCAAATGACAATTACTTAGATCCACTACCATTTCACAGCCACGAATAAACGACAGGCTTTATAATTTCTACGTTGAAACTTGAAACTAATATCGCAGCCGGTAAGCTGAGTATTTAAATTAATATTGATGAATTCACTAACTTGCAAAAACTAGCGAGTTGTTTTACTATACCAAACGCAAATTATTACAAACTCCAAAACTAGCCCTTAAATTTGGCTTTGTCCTTTTTCAAAATACTATACATTTCATATTTCAAAAAAATTATTACTTATATATGAAATTAATACACTAAGGTAAGTAAAGAAATCATGTGAATTTATAATTATAAACATATACTGATATACTGAGTAAACCAGTCTACCCACTGTCAATCACAATTCAATCAAAGTCTTACTCCTTTTTTGCCTTCTTCATCGAGTGTGAGTCTGGAGTGCTCCAAACCATCTTGATAGCTTCGTTTCAACATTTTTAAACGCTGACTCGCAGTTTTAATCTTTTCTTATATATGCCAAAACTACATTCAATCTGCAAACCGATACTGCTTCCTTTTTTTTACCTATTGGCCAGTGTTTATCCAATAGGGGAACCCATGCTGATCGTGCGATATTTGAGACGGTCATAGTCATTGAACATAGGTCACAGCATGTCTATATGGATGAAAATTTATGACTCCTTATATTTTTCGCGAGTTTATATGAAAATATTCACTAGAGGAAAAACTTGTAATGAATATGAATTACAAAGATTAAATGAAAACTTGTTTTCTAAGTAAAATTTTACATTCATGAGAGGTTTGGTTACGTAAAATTGGTATTTTTAAAGTCTTGTAGACATAAGGCTTTCTCATTTGAAGCCATAAATTTGGATTGGTCGACGTTTTAATTACCTTGTTGCGTAATCACACAGACGATGAAAGTTTTTAATTAGTAAGCACTTCCGCGAGTGAGAAAGCCGATATAAATAAAAGAGCATTGGGGTTTCTGACAAACTTTAATTCAAAATTCGCCGTGGTAAAGTTCGTTCACGCCATTGTAGCTACAAACAATATATGGTGCAAATTTTGATGCGTATCAATTCCCAAGCACACATACTGTACATTTTCGAGCAACCATGTTGAAAGAGCCACGTGTCACTTACATGCCCTACACATGCACTACACTTTAAATCCTGTTTACAGTTTTCTGCCACGAGACACTAGCATGGGTTGTATAATCACAATTACTTATGGATCAGGAGAAAGCCATGAGATTTATTTCGTGTGCTCCCATACATCGCGTGCTAAATTCTACTGATTTGCATATTTCGCACATCACGCGTGAAGCAGAATGGAGCACGGTATAACATGTCATTGCCGTTTCGTGTGAAGAGCCCTTGGACACAGAGTAGATACATATACAGAGTTATAAATAGTGCACCCACTTTTTTTGTTCCATTGGATGGCGGCTCGCTTTAACTGCTCGCCGAGCACGCGCAGTTGATCATTTTTTGTCCGGTCGCCTGAAAAAAAGTGGGTACATGAAAACGTAAGTTTCCCCAGTGTTTACGACGGCCAGTTACAGCTATGTATGTATCTACTCTGTGCCTTGAAGAACCGTGGCGACATCGGTATGCAAAACACGGGCGGTGAAACGCGCCAATAAATGACCGTGCTACGTGTGATGCACATTAGGACTGGCGCGAGCGCGCTTTCTCTAAAAAAATCAGAAAATCGCGTACAAGATGTAGTAAAGTAAAACTGAACGGGGCTTTTTTGGGCTTTTTTCATAAAACGGAGATATCTTGCAGCCTTTATAGTTTTCCGTATACTCCACACGACAATATAGATTCGCGACTACTATACTTATTTATGCAGATAGTACGATATTTAAACAACACAAATTTTCAATTATCAATTAAACCAAATCACTTCCTGCCTCAAATACATACTATAAATGTTTATTGAAGTATCTAGTATCAGCTTATATTGCTAGAATTGGTATCTATTTCACTTGCAAAATGAACGAAGCGATTGTTGAGGAAAAGACATGCATTTTGAACTCGATTTTGACGACATTTTTTCTTTTTTGACAAAGCGCGGACGTATTTAAAATAGTGTTTTCTCCTCGTTGAGATAGGTTGAGATAAATTTGAACACACCAAACTATAGACATTTAACTTGGCTTTATGTCTCAAGTAAAATTGAACGGTGCTTTTTTGTGCTTTTTTCAGAAAAAGGAGATATCTTGCAGCCTTTATAGTTTTCCGTATACTCCACACGACAATTCCGCGACTACTTTTATGCAGATAAGACGATATTTAAACAACACAAATTTTCAATTATTAATTAGACGAAATCACTTCCTGCCTCAAATACATACTATAAATGTTTATTGAAGTATCTAGTATCAGCTTATATTGCTAAAATTGGTATCTATTTCACTTGCAAAATGAACAAAGCGATTGTTGAGGAAAAGACACGCATTTTGCACTCGATTTTGATGACATTTTTTCTTTCTTGTCAATTAAAGCGCGGACGTGTTTAAAATAGTAATTTATCCTCGTTGAGATAGGTTGAGATAAAATTGAACACATCAAACTATAGACATTTAACTTGGCTTTATGTCTCAAGTAAAATTGAACGGTGCTTTTTTGTGCTTTTTTCATAAAACGGAGATATCTTGCAGCCTTTATACTTTTCCGTATACTCCACACGACAATATAGATTCGCGAGTACTATATTTATGCACATGAGACGATATTTAAACAACACAAATTTTCACTTATCATTTGAACGAAATCACTTCCTGCTTCAAATACATACTATAAACGTTTAGTGAAGGATCTAGTATCAGCTTGTATAGTTAAAATTGGTATCTATTTCACATGCAAAATGAACAAAGCGATTGTTGAGGAAAATACATGCATTTTGAACTCGATTTTGACGACATCTTTTCTTTTTTTTGTCAAAGCGCGGACGTATTTAAAATAGTGTTTTCCCCTCGTTGAGATAGGTTGAGATAAATTTGAACACACCAAACTATAGACATTTAACTTGGCTTTATGTCTCACGTAAAATTGAACGGTGCTTTTTTGTGCTTTTTTCATAAAATGGAGATATTTTGAAGCCTTTATAGTTTTCCGCAACACTGTCACTGCAAGTCAACGACTGCAGTCGCACGAAAAAAGATTCACGCTGAATATTTTTGGAGTGTGGGCAGCAGTTATACCAATAATAGAAATCAAATCAATTAGTAAAAACACTTTACAATGAACTTTCAATGGATTTCCAAGCAAGACGGCTGATTAACACAAAAACGGTTATATATTTAAGTTTTCAAATTGTCGAACAAAATGAAATTGTAGTTGTTTTTTTTTTCAAATTCTAGCTGTTTTAAATGCATGCACTGTCAATTTTGGGCTATATGATTGATTGAAAAATAGTAGCCAAGCAATGTCAGAATATTCTTACTGTGAAAATGTTTATCCTACCTTCGCATTATGAAGTAAAATATCCCATTTCATACCAAAATTTTCGTATTTGGAATATGCCCACATTCGATCAGCTCGATTCCTTTTCAAATTTTTATTTCGCTCATGATGAATCTTTAAAGCCCTTTTTCCTTTATCAGATATACAGAAAATGAATCCAACAATGTCTTCAAACCATCAAGTTGTTTAGGAATGTGCAGAAAACATTTTTTACTTTAGTTTTTTCAGCTCTTTTTTGGCATTTTGCATAAACATTCCAATTCCATTTTTATTTACATTATAAATTAATGTATACGGGGGGTATGCGCATCACACAAAGATCAGGGGCGCTATCTCCGTTTCACCGCCCGTGTTTTATAGCGCCCCGACAGCCTCGTACCCAGGCGCTTTGATTGGCTTTGATGTCATTTGATGTTGCGTGACGCGCGCGCTGAGCAACGCACCTCGATTCCCGCGCGTGCGTCACGCAACCAGTTAGCACATCAAAGCGCCACGAGGCTGACGCCCTCATACCAAGCTTGATTTTCTCGTGGATGAGAAATGGAGTTTAGTTTTCCTTTTCGACTTGAATCCCGTTTATACCGGGACATAAAAAATTAAATTTTTGTGATTTAAGTGTTCTGCAAACGGTAACAACGGTTGGTGGAAATATAATTTGAGTTTATATGAATTAAAAATTGCTGCTATGCTTGTGGGACCACATGCGCGCGCACTGCAATCGGTATAGTTTGTAACACCTTTAATATTTTTAAGCTTTTTCCCAAATATGTCAGTTTAACCCATTTATGGCCAAATTCTACAGGTAGCGAAAATTAGGTAGGCAAAGGAAATACCTAAAAACCGCCCAACGCAGGCTAATTTATGGCCAACACTTTCACAAGTAAAATTGTCAAATGAACTACCATTTTACTATAAATATAAGATGCACAAAATAAGCATGGAGTACAACTATGAGAATTTATTTTCGCTTTGCTTCCAAAACATCTGCACTACAAATGACATTCGAGATATCCTGTTTCTTCTAATAAATGACTATTATAGAATTTGCTTATTCTTTGGACAAACCATGGCATTCTTGAATAAGTTTTGTTGCTCACAAATTTTTCTTCATGAAATCAATCATTCGTTGCAACGCAAGTTCACACGCTTCCTTGTTGTAGAAATCACAACCCTTGTGCGTGAATGCATGGCCAGCATTATACATGTGGAGCTCAAAATTAACGCCACCAGCCTCCAGCTTGGCCTTCAAAGTTTCAACATCCTTTGGCGACGAGAAGCCAACCTTGTCATCTAACTCGCCGAAGTGACATTGCAATGGGATCTTTATTTTACCAACGTCACATAGCGCTTCACCTGGGATGCCATAGAATGGTGCCGAGGCCGAGATTTGGGGAACAAGGGCAGCTGCGGCAATAGACAATGCCCCACCCATGCAGAAACCTGTCACACCTACTTTGGTACAGCCTTTCGATAGAAGATATTTTGCAGCTCCTAGCAAATATATTACAAAATATTTGAGTTTTTTCCCTTCATTTTGTTTTGTTCCTTCACTTTGTCTAAAGCCTGTTTTCCACTGGATGAATTTGTTGGTGCAAAGCAACTTTTTCATTTGTCAGCATCAACAACAATGTTGAAGAAAAAGTCGCTTTTCACAAATATATTTTCAGTGTGCAGAAGTCCTATGTATTAAAAATTGTGTTACATAAGCCCTTCTAAGGTCTATTGACATAATTTTCTCATTCTGATAACTGCTGGTTCCAGCAATGTTTTGCTGATTTAAAAATAGGGGGACGCTTTTGAAAATCAAATGGATGTGGTCACCCGATAGAGCGTGGCCAATGGCCATGAAATTAAACAAGCGGGGGTTTAATTTAATTAAACAAGTGGGGGTTCTGCGCTTATAACAATAAGTACTTATCTAAGCAGACATGAATGACAATAAGTACTTAACTAAGCAGACATCTAGTGTTTTTGTGCTAAACTTTTCTGCAAGTATATCAAGTTTCAGGGAGATTAAAGTAGTGACAAAATTACGTTCTGAAGTATTTCCATGCCTACATGGAAATTATTGCCAAAATCTACATGGAAATTATTGCCAAAATCATGCTGAGCAATTATTGCCAAAAATAATGCGTATGTAGAACAAGTGATACCCAAAATTATTTGGACAGTGCAGGGCCTGCGGAGCATATTAGAGAGTGGGGGGGGGGGCTAAATCATCAATAAAACCCCCAATTAATTAATTTAGAAAGTTTCATTTAGATTTCTATTTTAATAATTTTGGCTGTCAAAAAAAGTGGGGGGCCCCCCCGTCTCCGCGGTCCCTGCAGTGTCAAACAGCATTCAGGGGGAACGGCATTCCCCATGTTTGATTTTGGCAGGGGGATGCCATTCCCTTGATAAAAAAGGTGGGGGACAGCATTCCCCCATGTTCCCCCTACACACATCTTGTTGACAAGTTGTGAGATTTTTACGTGTGTAGAAAACATCACTGGCTGGTTCACTGCCATCTGTTGCATGATAGTGAAACTACCATCATGATAATAATACCTGTAATATCCTTCACTGCACCGGGCCAATCGAGGTTACTCATCAAATGCCCGGCACCTTCATTATCTGTGGCGAGTTTTCCTCGGTACAGATCAGGAACTAAAGCGACAAATTCTCCTTTCTCCGCGATTTCTTTTGCTTCGTCCTGAATCTGTTGGTTTAGGCCCCACCATTCCTGCAACACGATCAAACCACGTGCACTGCTCGAATCTTTTCCCTTTACAAACACGGCTGGGCATTCTCCCTGCGCGTTTTCTGACGCGAATTTAACGTTTTCTACAAGCATTGACATCGTTCTTCTGAAATAGTCAGGCTTTGGACAGAATGAGCTCTTTATAACAGTTGAGACTCGAGCTTTGATGCAGAACATTTTACTCAAGGTATTTAATTCCGTTTATTTTGTACATTCCTCGAATTTCATTACAAATTTCCTTGTTTTCGTAAGTATATAAAATCAGACTCAATTAATAAAATAAAACTTTCCTATTAAATAACACGCTTGCTTTCTCATGTTAATTTATACTGCAGTATGTCACATTTCACTTTTACTGTAAAATCAAGTTTTTGTTGCCTTTTTGGTATAAAACATTTTAAAAACAAAAACTTTTGTTTCACTTTCAAATATAATTTCCTTGGTTTTCAGATGGACTAAATTTTTCTCCTAACCCCCGGATTTTTATCAAATTAATGAAGTGGGAGAGTAGAGATGGCATAATACCAGGGGGGTTAGGCACTCAAAAATGTACAAAACTTGCGTAATTTCAGCTTTCAAAATGGCGTCAATAAGGAGTTGTTTTCGCCAAAGAAATGTTCAATGTTTCCCCCAGAGGGATTGGTTGAATTTTGGTATAAATAATCAGAAAATCACGCGTTTTCGTGCAGGTATTTACATAATGATTTAATATTTGCATATTGATATGGCTAAGGTGGTACTGTACAAAAAATAGGCTGAATTTGTGAAACTATTAACTTTATACTGGATGGCTCATCCCTTATTGTTGCTCAGGAGGAAACCATCAGTTCTAAACTGTTCTCCCTAGAGAGTTCCCTAGAGATCTAGTAAGAGTCATCTCTTATTGATCCAGTGTTACTACAGGAGGAAACCTAAACTAAACTAACTTTATTTATACTGGATAGCTCTATCAGTTCTAAACTGTTCTCCCTAGACTAGAGGTCCAGTAAGAATCATCTCTTATTGATCCAGTGTTACTGCAAGAGGAAACTTAAACTAAAATAACTTTATTTGCTGTGTTGGTGTAATGTATTTATACTGGATAGCTCCATCAGTTCTAAACTGTTCTCCCTAGAGCTCCAATTATAAGGATCATCTCTTATTGATCCAGAAGTGCTACTTCAGGAGGAAACCCAAACTAACTTATACTGGATATTCATCTGATTATCACTACGTTTTAGCACCAGTATCAACGTTATCTCAAAACATGCCCAAACAAAACATGCCCAAACAAAACATGCACAACCTTGCAACTGTCAACAGTACAACCCCTCATGTCGCACTCATTGGACCATCAGTCCGACGTCTTTTGGACTCCTATGGTCTCGACAGACACTCAATAAAACCAAGCGGTCACAAAGGACAGCTTTTGAAAGGAGATGTTCTCAAATATATCGATGAACATGCAAAGGCAGAAATAAAGTTCACACATATTTTACAAGGTAAATAAACTAGTCAAGAATTACGGTTATTGATTTTACCATAGCATGCAAATGATGGTAATAGTAGTAGCAAAAGTTCAGTTCATAGGGATGCAATGAAGATGCAACTACTTTTTTATTACTGGTGCTACTTGCACTGTAACCTGTGCCTAAAAAGATAATGTGCCTTTCAGACAAAATCCCAGCCAGTGGCCCTATGACTCAGGAATCAAATATTGGCTATGTTGATGTTGGTCTGAGTAGCGCAAGACAAGCAATTGCGAGGCAGATGATGGAATCGAAGAACACCACACCTCATACATACAACACCATCGATTGCAGGGTTGATAACCTGTTTGCTATATGCAAAAAATTTGATCATTCTGTATCAATTTATGACTTTGTTATAAAAGCTGCGGCATTAGCACTTTGTCTGTTACCGCATGTGAACACATCATGGTCAGATGGCAGCTTGGTGCAGCTCAGTGGTATCAATATTGGGATAGCTGTCAATTCTCCAAATGGAGTCATCACTCCAGTTATAAATAATGCAGATCAGCTGGATGTATCCAGCATTTCTCAAACAGTAATGGTAGGTGTACATTCTTTCATGACCAGATTTTGAGGGGGGGAGGATGTGCCCGAATATTAAAGTCAAAATAATGAGTGGGTGACTGGACAGGATGGCAAACAGTATTCCCTTCAAAACGGAAGAGGTTATTTTGCTGGCCTCAGAGTGACAAAATGTAACAAAGCAATGGTTTTACTAACACTAACCCTATTCCAAACACCTACTCTTAACCCTATTAACCTAACCCTACTCCAAGTTTGTTTCTAAAGCAATCTTCATGAAGAAAAAAGTTTCGACGAAATATCATTCTGAGGTCAGCGAACTATCCTTTCCCCTTCAAAACAAGGAAAAGGCAAGCAAATTAGGGTCATGAGAATTTTTTCTCCTCAATTTCAGGAACTCAAAGAACAAGCTAAGAATGGATTACTTAGACCTGAGCAACTCCAAAATGCTTCATTCACAATCACCAACCTCGGGAACTTGGGTGTAAAAAGTTTCACTGCAATAATCACCCCTCCTCAGTCGGCCACGCTTACAGTTGGTGACAGTCAAGTGCTAGTGAATGACAATTACAAACTTTCAAATGTTATAAATGTGACTTTGTGTTGTGATGGGAGAGTCATTGATGAACAATTAGCCTCGGAATGGTTGACTGTGTTTAAGGGTTTCATAGAGAACCCTTTGCAGATGGGACTGTAGTTCAGTTGTGTCGAAGATAGATTAATGTATTTCATATAGTAGTTACCATAAATAAAGAGACATGATAAGCTATATTTAAACTATATTTATTTATACTTAATAGCTAGCTCTCCTTAACGTAGAGGTAACTAAGTTTTATTCATACTGAACAGCTCTATCAATTAGAGTTATCCCTTATTGTCTCAGTGTTATTACAGGAAGAAACCTAATTAGGAATATTTTAACGAAAATTTATATGCATTTCTAGACCTAACCAGGGGCAGTTGAGAAAACTACAGGCTTTCTGGCAGGAATTGAACCTGCAATTTCGGTACAGCACTCTAACCAAGGTTATTTCAGGCCTTCTGGTAGGAATCGAACCTGTGATTCCCATACAGCGCTCTAACCAAGGTTATACTACTGGCTTTCTGGCAGGAATTGAACCTGCGATTCCCATACAGTGCTCTAACCAAGGTTATACTACAGGCCTTCTGGTAGGAATCGAACCTGCGATTCCCATACAGTGCTCTAACCAAGGTTACTACAGGCCTTCTGGTAGGAATCGAACCTGTGATTCCCATACAGTGCTCTAACCAAGGTTATACTACAGGCCTTCTGGTAGGAGTCAAACCTGTGATTCCGATACAGTGCTCTAACCAAGGTTACTACAGGCCTTCTGGTAGGAATCAAACCTGCGATTCCCATACAGCACTCTAACCAAGGTTATACCACAGGCCTTCTGGTAGGAATCAAACCTGCGATTCCCATACAGCACTCTAACCAAGGTTATACCACAGGCCTTCTGGTAGGAATCAAACCTGCGATTCCCATACAGTGCTCTAACCAAGGTTATACCACAGGCCTTCTGGTAGGAATCAAACCTGCGATTCCCATACAGTGCTCTAACCAAAGGTTATACTTCAGGCCTTCTGGTAGGAATTGATTCCTACCAGAAGGCCTGAAGTATAACCTTGGTTAGCGCACTGTATGGGAATCACAGGTTTGAACCTGTGATTCCCATACAGTGCTCTAACCAAGGTTATACTACAGGCCTTGTGGTAGGAATCGAACCTGCGATTCCCATACAGTGCTCTAACCAAAGGTTATACTTCAGGCCTTCTGGTAGGAATCGAACCTGCGATTCCCATACAGTGCTCTAACCAAAGGTTATACTTCAGGCCTTCTGGTAGGAATCGAACCTGCGATTCCCATACAGTGCTCTAACCAAGGTTATACTACAGGCCTTGTGGTAGGAATCGAACCTGTGATTCCCATACAGCGCTCTAACCAAGGTTACTAGGTTACGTGTGAAACTGTATATAAATTTGCGTTCGAATATTCCATCTACAAGAAAACCATTACAGAGTTTCTTCTCACATAATCAGACAAGTCGGCATATTGCAGAAATCAAACCTCAATCAGAGGCGAAAGACATGGACTAATACCCAATGCACCAAGTTATTGTGCATTTATACTGGATAGCTCTATCAGTTCTAAACTGTTCGTCCTAGAGGTCCAGTAAGGATCATCTCTTATTGATCCTGTGTTACAACAGGAGGAAACCTAAACTAAACTAACTTTATTTATACTGGATAGCTCTATCAGTTCTAAACTGTTCTTCCTAGAGGTCCAGTAAGGATCATCTCTTATTGATCCTGTGTTACTACAGGAGAAAACCTAAACTAAAGTAACTTTATTTATACGGGATAGCTCTATCAGTTCTAAACTATTCTCCCTAGAGGTGCAGTAAGGATCATCTCTTATCGATCCGACCTGTGATCGAACAAGCACCAACGCTCTAATCATCTCCTGAATTCGCTTGAGCACTCGTTCACTTAGTGGAAACTGGTACTTAAAGCATCGACAGGACCTTTCACAGACTGTGTGTGATCCTTGATAGTCAGCTTAATCTTGCCTCCAGTTCTCTCCTCCAGAGAAGAGTGAGTTGAATAGTCCGTGCGATGCGATTCTTCAACTTCCAGTACCACACTGAAATAAAATACGTTAGAATTAGCAAGAATACTAAACTAACTTTATTTATACAGCAATTGTTTGCTTTAGTTAAGGGAATTGGTATTATTAGTAGGCTGTAGAAATTTTGATCGGCATTTCTTTATTCAGTGGGGGGGGGGGGGGGGTGGGGTATACAAATCCCCTAATGCCCAAATGAAGCAAAATCCGCCATCCGACAATGGAAGAGTCCACGTGAGAATCCGCTAAAAGCTCTACTATGAAGTCACAATCCAGGATCCGAACTAAATTGCAAGCTAAATCCACAATCCGGGCCAAAATATTAGATAAATCCGTAATCCGCTGTATTAATAAGATCCGCAAATCCGTGTGAATTATTCGCCAGATCCGAAATCCGAACAATTTTTTCTGTGAAATCCGACGATCCGCAAACCTGTTCCCTTCAATTTATTTTGAAAATTATCAAATAAATCTATATACCTCATTTTCTGAAGGTTTGGCATACTGTTGACAAGCTTGACTAAATCATCCTGCACATTTTGGTTTAGCTCTTTCAAATGCATCCTATAGTGGACAAAAACAGAAAGAATTACTGTATTAGGTTGATGCACGGAATAATAGTAACGCCTTGGAAATATTATCATGGTCATTTTATACTGGTCATGTTATTATCATAGCATGACCAGTCGCTGTAGCTAGCTAAATACTTAGACGCCCGTATTCTAGCTAAAAGCTCACTCACACTCAATGAGTGGAAGTTCAATCTGAGCTTTTCTTGAGTGTCAATGCTGTTTTTGAATAGCTGGAGGGTGAGTATAGTCATATAGTAAGGTACGACACTAACCCTTCAGCTATTCAAAAACAGCATTGACACTCACGAGAAGCTCAGATTGAACCTCCACTCATTGAATGTGAGTGATCTTTTAGAATACGGGCGAGAGTCTTAGTTGTATAAATGCATAAAGTTCGTTGTTTGCTATTTGATGCTAACGTATTGTTCTTGGGTTCGCAGCAATTGGCTAATCGCTATTGTGAATGCCCTGTCATATAATCTACTTTTAATAGTTCGTTAAATGTATATTATTACTTTGTAATAACTATCAAGTTAATAAATTAAAAATTAAATCAGTGAAATACCAAGGCCAAACGCCAAATTATTTTGAATCGTATCAAAACAATACTGATACTCTATCCTTACTTGATTCGATTCAGTTGTGTATTCTGGCCAAAAACATGCAACCACTGATTGACAAACACACCCACACAAGATGAAGGGAGTGAAATATCTTGAATGAGTTGATTTTCATTTTCTGCCTCTTCTTCCATTGCGGTAATCAAAGCCTTCATTGCTTCATCACTGGGTGGGGAGTTCTGGCAATCCTCTTGAAAATTTGAAAGGTGTTTAATTTTGCTCGAACTATCTTCCCTATTGAACTTTTGTTTCGAGTGTTCGACCTAGACAAATATATAGTAATTACGAGTTAGTTCAATAAGACATTAGCAAGTGGAGATGTTGATAAGCTAGGTAGGTAGTTTAAATGAATAGATGCCCCAAATCTTTATTACTGAGAACTTGACTCAACAGAATCAAAAGTTACTTCAACGATGCCTTCAGATTTTTAAAAGGGAGTTACACTACACATATATATATTTAAAAAACTCATTAATAATTCAGGAGGAAAACACAAAGAAAAATCATAAGCGTGTCGTGGTTTTATATGTGATAAAAAATCATGTTAATTTACATAAACTTTAGCTTTGATTTTCTCGGTTTAGACAAAGTTTATTTTAAAAATTACTTCGCTAATGTACTCATCAGAAGATGGCTCGTTTTTTAAGCTATTTAAAGCACTCGTAGTCGTGTTTTATCACATATAAAACACTCCGCTACGCGTCGTGTTTTATATGTGATAAAACACTCCTACTCGTGCTTTAAATAGTACATATATGGCCATCTTACGATATAAAAGATGCCAAAACCTTCTTCCTACCTGTTCTTTCTCGACGTAGCAATCTAGATGTTTCCCAAGGTGCAATGAAGTGATCTGACTTTGTTTTATAAGATCAGCAACCGCGCGCAATCCTTTGTCTCCAAAATGACAACACGACAGATCCACCTCTTTAAGTCGAAGCATGGTTTCGAATGCAACACAAATCGCGTGTACTGCGTCAGGACAGAGACACGAGTGATTAAACTTCACACTTTCAAGCATGCTATTCTTTTGAAGACATTTTGAAGCGATCACCTTTGCCTCTGGGTACGAAATCATTATTCTACTAAGATTAAGTCTCGCGAGTCCTAATTCTTTCACAACAAGCCCCAACCCTTGAGCTGCACCGTGGCTCATAAATAATGGATAACCGTTCGGTGTTTTAGTTTTCTTGAACGGTTCAAAACCAACACAAAGACTTGAAATTTCTTGGGAATTATCCTCGTTCCATGCCTCGGCTACGCTTGCGAGAAATAGGTCCATTCTACTACAATAGCATGAATCTTGGAAGAAAGTTTCCGACGTTGTCTTTGTTAAGCTTTCAAACCACTGGAGCAGTGTGCGTCTGTCTTTCTTTTCTGCCAATAAACCAGCGATAAAAATAAGGACAGATAAACAAGTGCGATTTTCCGAATGAAGAAGCATCATAGAAATAAGTTCTTCTGTTTCCTCCAAACCCCAGTTTTCAACTATCCATTTGGCTGCGAAGTACTGTTGTAGTTTCTCATGGGCAAATTTGTATGATCCGTCGTCGTTAAGCTCTGTGCCAAGGTATCCAACATTGGCATCCACCTATCAAGCGAAATTAAATAACTAGTCCACAATAAGCCAATAGTTACTACAGGAGGAAGCCTGAACTAAACTAACTATATTCATACTGGATAGCTCTATCAGTTCTAAACTGTTCTTCCTAGAGGTCCAGTAAGGATCATCTCTTATTGATCCAGTGTTACTACAGGAGGAAACCTCAACTAAACTAACTTTATTTACACTGGATAGATCTATCAGTTCTAATCTGTTCTCACTAGAAGTTAGTACAAGAGGAAACCTAAACTAGCCTAATTTTATTTATTCTGGATAACTCTATCAGTTCTAATCTGCATGTTCTCCCTAGAAGTCCAATAAGGATCATCTCTTATTGATCCAGTTTTACTGCAGGAGAAAATCTAAACTAAACTAACTTTATTTATACTGGATATACCTCTATCAGTTCTAAACTGTTCTTCCAAGAGGTCCAGTAAGGGTCATTTCTTATTGGTCCAGTGTTACTACAGGAGGAAACCTAAACTAAACTAACTTTATTTACACTGGATAGCTCTATCAGTTCTAATCTGTTATCCCTAGAGGTCCGATAATGATCTATAGTACAGTTAATCTCTTATTGATCTAGTACAGTTGTTAGTTGGAAGAAACCTAAACTAGACTAACTTTATAGGGAATATATCTCTATCAGTTTTATGTTGTTCTTCACAGAGGTCCAGTAAGCGGTCCATCTCGTATTGATGTTTCCTCCTGTTATACTGCAGTAGGAAACAGCATGTAAGATCAATAAGGAACATGTAGTAAAAGAATCTTTGTACCTTGCAATTAGTTAACTCGTCTTGCGTAAACTGTGTCTTATCCTCCCTCATGCCTGACACGGCCAAATGTCCGTGATTGCCCAAAACACCTTGCAATCTTATCTCTTCACCCGACTTTAACTTAAACAACTTGTGAACAACGTGCGTGTAACGACCTAAGAGCTTTGTTATCGTTAGCGACTGGTCTAGCTGCTCGTTCCAAAGTTCACATAGAACCAACGTTACCAGTGGAATTCTTGCGAGTTGCATCAAATCAGAGTTGCTTTCCAAACACTCCTTCAACTTTTCACTTTTCGTCTCGTTGTGGCGAAAATACTTCGAGATATACTCTAAAACACTGGCTTCGCTGTAACCAGTGATGCAATAACGCGCATGAAAATCCTTTGATAGTCTCAAACACAGATTATATTTCGGCGCCGGGCGGATTGTCGCGATTAAATACGCCCCTCTGTATTCCTGATCTAGCAGAACATTCTTGATATGGGTTAACATATCTACGGGACATTCGGAAACACCATCCAACAAGAATAACAGTTCGTGAGGATACTTTTTCATGTAGTTATGAAACTTCGCCTTTTCGTCTGCGGTCAAACGGCCGCAAAAGACCACTCTTTCCAAAATTTCCTCTAGCGTTCCATTGACTTCAGACAACTTGATGAAAATAACTATTTTGAATTGGTTAAAGGGTTGGGGGCATTGGAAACTCGGATTTGCCCAATCGTGCGCATATTTTTGACATAATATGCTCTTGCCCATAAAAGCTTGACCGTAAATCAGGACTCGGCTAGGTGACTGACTGTCATTGTTAGCTCCAAAGACTTTGTACATTGAATCACAGTCATTTTGCACAGAGTCGCAGGAATCAGTGTCGACAAGTTGTAAATCAGGTTTAAGAAAGACTTCTTGCAAGGATGTCTGTTGGGGTTTCAACTCATTGCGGTTCACTTTAGCGTAATTGATTGAGTAGTCCTTTCGAATGAATTCTGAAACTTTATTTACTACGTTTAATTCGTCTTCACCTGAATAAGAAAGCAACAAATATAAGGTTTGTCAGTTCAAGAATGGCATGGTCTCTATACTGGAGACGGATGATTTGTCTGGACGAACTTGGGCCGATAAAGATAGCTTGTCTGATAATTCGTCTGTGTATCTGCATAGTTTGTCTAGAATCCGTCGTGTATAGGTTCTTTGGACGGATGATCCCCGTCTATGCACCTAATGCATGTATAAATATGTATAAATACAGCATTACACGAACTGCCATGGAAATATCAGGTATGGGGCGATTCGCAAAATACACGATGCTTTTTTTGCCACTTTTTAACCCCTCCCTACCATTTGTGACAGTGTGTGAAAGCTAGCTGAGCAGTACACCCCATCATAAAATACGTGACTCTGAGCCAACACCCCCCCCCCCCAAAAAAAAAAAAACCCAAAAAAAAACTCACAACAAAACACAAATTTAATATGCAACAACAGATTCAAAACTTTACCTATAAATCTACACTATCTCAATGCCTTATTAAATTGAAACCTCAACTAAGCAATTGATTACTGCAGTAAATATTTGACGCTTTTTCAAATAACCTCAATACAAACTGCTACGTTCGGCTAAAGCGATGCAATGTTCGCTGTAATTTCGACTTTAAGTAACATCTCTTGGGTCGCATTAAGCTTTCACGTTGCTTGAACGACGTGATAATATGCTTAGTTTAACGTTGTGCTGAGCATGACAACGCCGTTGAGAATAACCCTGGGATAGCCCGCGTGCAGCCCACTATTCTTCCCTTGGGCCTGCACGCGGGCTACCCCTGGGACCACGAATTATTCACAGTTTTTGTCTTGAATGACAAATTTCTTTGTTTTGAAAGCGCGTCGTCGAGCCGACCGCGTCGTAGATCTGCCTCGTACCCAGGCGTCTCTTTGTAAACAACAGTGATGCGCATATGACGAGTTTACATGAAGTATTGTAGTGGGGAGAGATGGGCGAAGGGGCTGATGGGAAGAGAGCACGCACCCTTCCCAACAGCCCCTTCGCGCTTCGCCTACCTACCTGAATACTTCATGTATTGTAATTATTTAAAGCGCCTGGGTACGAGGCAGGTCGTAGATCGTAAACTCCCTACTCTAGCCAGTTCATTTTCAAGACGTTTACAAAACGAGATCACAGTGTAAGTACATACAGAGGTCTCACTTCTGTGGGGAAACCGTAAGGTAGTTTTTACTGCGCATATCTGGTGGCCATGTAATGTTCTTAGCAAGCGCCCTAAAGGGAGGCATTCACCCCAGGGGAACATTAAATATCAATATGTTTTCAGGGGGTAACGGCCTCTCTTTAGGGCATTTGCTAAGAACATGGCGGACTGAAAAAATCAACCTGAAGTGAGACATCTGTATGTAATTACTCTGTGATGATGTACTTTGACGTATGCTTGTCTCCAGCATAAATCAGGCCAATCCTTCTTACCTGAATCTTCGGGTGGAGCATCCGGTTCTGTTGGATTAGGTGGTGAATATGGACCTAAAGTAAAATAATGAAATGTCAAGCCCTGGGAAAATTAGAGAATCTTGATTTCCATGCCACCCTTGGAAGTGTTGTTGCAGAAATATCTGAAAATCTTGATGTTTCCTCAATACAACTACCGTTTCCCTGTTTGCCCACGCTTGGATTCTTGGAAACGTTCCGGAAATAAAATCTCTATTTTAAGACTTCCAGGAAGAAACAAAACACTATTTCCCAAGGAATTCTTGGAATGACTTAATCATTGTTCCTCAAATGTGGTTTTGCTGCAGAAACAAAGTTTCTTTGACAGTCAAGAAACTGCATGACCTTGACCGGACTACATGTCAAAACAAGTGGATAGAGATAGTAGCGAAAGACATATTGGACCTCTTTTGCAAAGAAAGAAGATATTACACATCTATTAACACAAGTGCATTTGGAGTTTAACCTTTAATTAATCTCTCCCCTTGATGTGTAAAATAGTCTGACGTAAGACAGAGTAAAATAATGTCAAAAAATAAGAGGGCACATTGCCGCTTAGTGGTGAGTAATTACTAAACCGAACATGACGTAATGCTTTGCACAGGCGACGACGCCGGACGTACGAAAATGCACGAGCCACGATGCTGTACAAAGTACGCAAATGCAAAGAATTACAAGTTTGCAATAAAATATAATTTCTATCATCAGTGATTACCTTGTGTTTCTGTCACGTGGATTGTTGCGTGATCACCAAGAACAAACACTTTAGGTTGTGTCACAGACACTCCAGTTGTATTGTTGTTTTCGCTGTCTTGATTCGCCATCAACCTTTTAATAATCACGTACCAAAGAAACAATTTACAATTATAAACACAAAATGGAGATATTCAGTAATCAATTTCCGCTATTGCAGTTGAATACGATGAATATAAGTTTAGACTTGAATATTTTGACTGAAAGTCTTACAAAGTGGGGTGAACACAATGAAGCAACAATACCAGGGCTAGCATTGTGCCAATGTGGTTTGACCATTGTGCAAGATGGCCTCGCGCGAACAGCGAAAAGGCGTATCTTTGTCACCTTTGTGTCTTTTGTGTATCATGCATTCATGCTAGCCTATTACCGGTACTTCTCAAAATCGAGTATTATTATCGACGCAGCAATTAAATTCGCTAATAACGTTAACTGGCTTAACTTCCCAGAACGATCTTCGATCAGCTGTCGCAGTGTTCTCATAATTAAACCACAACAGCTTATTGTATTGGATACTGCCTACACTGGGAGCCCACCTTCGAGATATCTTTTACAGATAGTTCAGACACAAACCACGACAGCTTATTGTGGAACTATCTACACTGGAGTCTGGATCGGCCCTACGTTTGAAATATGTTTTTTAGCCCCGCAGTTCAGACACAAATCACAGAAATTTATTGTAGAATGATATAGGCTGAGAACGGATGTGGCAAGGATATCCACGTTTTGACACAGTCTGAACTTCACACCGCAAAATACGCCACACAGAAATAAGTCATTGTATCAGATTCGTTCAAATGTACTAGCTATACAAGTGAGCAGTCTTATTATTATCAGTATTGGAGTTACCGTCGCGACAACGCTATACTGGTTAGCCACAAGAGTAGATACACACAAGTTTAAACATATACCTACACATACCAGTACAGAATACAAATATAAACACATGGTTTGTAGACTTTGTATTAAAGCTGCTAGACCATATAAAGTCACAACCTTTTTACGATCATTCATTCAAAGTAAGCATACCTATTTATTCGCCAAACTCTGTCTTCTTGGCTTAAACCTCGGCTTATACATTCGAGTTCTACCATCAACGCAATAATTCAATTACGTCTCGTTTAGATGACGCCTTTAAAGAAACAAATCTTCCAAACAGGTTTGAACAACTTTGTTGTGGGTCTGCCTACGTAATTTATTGTTCGCGGATTTATACGTCAACTGGTGTCAACGGGAAGTCGCACTTGCTTGTCTTCATAACACATGCACTTATAAATAATGGGATATTCAAATCATATGATTTGCTTGGCGACCCAGAACGACCTCTAAAATCTCTAAAGGCTAGTTTCCATATGCCGGTCGTAAAAATTGAGTCACGATCTTTCTCAACGGCCAGTTTATAATAGTTTATACCTGTAAACCACATATAAATCATGAGTATTTTCTTTTTTTTTATTTATTTATTTGCTGATTCGCCCAAGATATTGATATTGCACATAAAAGAAATAAACTATTTACAAGAAATGGGCTAGGAGCCTACTAGAAACCATATGGCTTTTTGTTTTAGGCCCCTAGGTTATAAATTTAAACTAATTAACAAAATAATATGCAGCATCAGTTCCAGTGCTTTTAGGAGAAAGGAAAAAGAATAGTTAAATATTATATGATATGATAGTAAGCTATATTTACAATTCAATTTTTGATTTATAGTTTTTCTATACTTACAGGAATATGTTATTCTATTAAATTTAGTTGTGAGAAGTACTTTTTCATTATTTTTTTGAAGGAGTCGTAAGATTTAGCAGGTTCTTTATATTGAGTGGGAAGATTATTCCACACTTCTATTACCTTTATAGTTATAATCACTCCGCGTATTTTCAGTTTTAAAATGTTGTATTTCGCCTGATGAGAAAGATCGTGACTCAATCTTCACGATTGTTACGACCGTATGAAAATGAGTGACTACGGAATAGAGAACAGTGTGATTTTCAAAACAAAGAAAAGAGAATGTTTTGCACCATAGTTGACATAGTTAGGCAAAGTTAAACTACAGTATAGATGTGTTCTTGCATGGTGCAGATACCAAGCGCGATGACGTTTTAAATCAATTTTTAAAAGCCTTTCAGAAAAATTAAACGTTTCCTTTATTTTCCCGGTTGCCTGGACGCTTGAAAATATTGTCGAGGAAACAGGACTGGAAACAGGAAATTTTGCTTCCAGAACCGATGACTTTGAGAAAAATTATTTTAATAGTGTTATTTCCGTTGCGGAAACAACGTTTTCCGGGGGGAGGTTTAAGTTTTCCTGAAAATAAAAAGGGCCAACAAATTTTTCGTAACCGTATTGGATAAAAGGCAGTTAAAAATACGTTTTCCACAAACTTGGACCTCAATTTCTCACAATGTTCCCAAATATTTAACACGTCCAGCAATTCCAGCATTTGGGGGCCCCCACTGGAGAAATTTGCCTCTCCTTTTCTTTGGGGGCTCTTACACCTCACCCAGTCGGCACGGCGCTGTTCGACTCCACGTTCACAGGCTTCAGTGAACATCGTTGGGAAATGTAATTTTTCCTGGTTCGCCCACCTTCGGTAAACATATATGGCTAGGAAACACGACTAAGAAACACTGATTTCATTTTAGTTTCGCCTGTAAATTGTTTCAGTATAAATACGGCAGCAGAAGTTGGTCAGAACTGTTGACACTGAAGCAGGCATTAAAATACGGAATTTTTACAAGGACACACTTTTACAAGGACACACCTTCAGAGGCGTATTTTTGGTATAAATTAATGCGCAGACTCACGAGAACGAGTGGCGAAGCCAGTACAAGTTTAGCATCGAAGACGCGAGCTTTTAAGGGGTCTCTGAAATGGCATTTCCAGAGTTCTGAGAACAGAATTTGCAAAATCTTTCGCCATTTTGCGTGGATTACATTAATATATTTTTAGTTTAATATATTTTCAAGTACACACTTTTCAATTTACAAGGGCACATTCGCCTTTTACAAGGACACAAAGTGTGTACAAGGACACGCTATTTTAATGCCTGCACTGAAGATGGACTTTCCGACTTGCAAGAAAAATTGAGATGTCGAAATTTTTCGCTCAATTTCTTTCGAATTCCGAGTGGTCAAGTAGAACTGATTTATTCGGTTGGTCACAAAAAGAAATCAAGCGAAATATTACGGACAACGCAATATTTGTCTGGAAGCGAAATCCAGCCTTATAGGAGCAATGAAATTAATTAAACTTCAAGAATTACTGTCAATATTTTCCAGCTAGCCATGGCGACTAGTCATGTCATGCCAATAAACCTGCATCTATTAAAAAAGATTAAAGACAATACATTTATAAAAGTTTGAATGTTGCAAATAATTAAAAATTCACATAGCATGACCTGTTGCTACGGCCAGCTCGCCACTGTAATGTTCTCACTCCACAGGGTGTCCCCAAAAAAGTACCCTCTATAGAAATGACGTATTGTGAAGGGCCGATTACATGGAGCATTTTCAACCCCGGGGTTGAACTCAGCCCTGTTAACCGGGTTGAAATTTTTTGCGATTACATGGACGATTTCAACCCCGGGGTTGAAACGTTATACTATACGTTCGCGGCATCGATTCGCGGAAGTAAAAAAAGCCTTTATTTTGTTTTCTTGTAATAAATAGTCACTACCGTACCACGTATGCTCGAATAAGTCATGATAATTTCAGCCCTGGGTTGAAGCAGGGTTGAAATTTCAACCCCGGGGTTGAACTCAGCCCTGGGTTGAAAATTTTGTCATGTAATCGCGCGTTTGATTTTGATAGAGTTTTGTATTACAGACGGGGCTGAAATTTCAACCCGGTAAACAGGGCTGAGTTCAACCCCGGGGTTGAAAATGCTCCATGTAATCGGCCCCTAAAGGCCATGTTACACGGTGCAATTTTTCTTGCAACTTGCAATGCAATTCTACTCTTGAGAGATGTAAAATTGCCAAATACGAGTCTCATTACGTACACTCCGCCACTGATGTTTTCTCAACATAGTCGAAAATTCTTCACTGATTTCACTAATTAACATCTCTCAAGAGTAGAATTGCATTGCGGTTGCAAGAAAAATTGCACCGTGTAACATGGCCTTAATTAAATATCTCTAAATATTGACTTGTAAAGCGCACGATTTTCTGCTCTTGGGAATTTAAAGCAGCTTCTTAAACAGTTTCTTTATGCATGAAATTTACTTATGTCAAGCTTTTATGCACTTGTGAGTTCAGCAGAGTGCTGAGGCATTCAAATTCTAACAATACGTTATTTCTATAGAGGGTACCGGCATTTTTTTGGGGGATAATGCTGTGCTGAGTGGTTATATGAGGGCCCTCTTATATTACTACCTTAAAAAACAAGCAGAAAGTTTGAGTTTCCACTTGTTTTTTAATGTTGTTTTTTAAGGTAGTAATATAACCACTCAGCACAGCACCACACTGGTACAGACAGTTTTTTGGGACACCCTGTATAACAACTGCAAAATGTCAACACCGTATTTCTCCGATCACGTCATCAATTTTTCATCTCGTGATCTGTAGATCTTCGCCAAAAATTGACCTCAAAATTGAAATCCTCATGCTCAAATTAGTCTACAACTGAAATTTCATGATGCTTGAACATTCGGGGCGCGAGTTTTAAAAGGCGTTTTGAGAATTTTTGTTTTGAAATTTCTGGAATTTCCGCTGCAGTCAAAATGTAAAGGAAAAACAAAATTTCAAAACGCCGTTACTCGCGTCCTGAATTTCCAAACATCATGAAATTTTCGGTGTAGATTAACTTGAGCATGAAGATTTTAATTCTGGGGTCCATTTCAGCGAAATACGAGGACGAAAAATCGATAACGCGTGCTCAGAAGGGAGGGCGTTTATTAGAATAATTAGGGCAGTCACGTGACTTGGATCATGCAGCTTCCGTTTTCTTCAAGTTTGTTGGTTGCCACCACCCTTCAGGAAAATGCCGCAAAAATAGCAAGCTTTCTTCTCCAAATATCTTCACAATGGCTAGGGATTACGACCACCTTTTCAAACTTTTAATAATCGGAGATAGTGGTGAGTAAAAAGGCGTTGGCATGTGGTTAAAAGACGTGTCCATTGCTCCTGGAATGAGCGAAGTTTGACACTCTTTACTCCCTTGTGGGTTGCTGCTGTTGTTTATATCATTATGCACTGTATTTATGTTGTATTTTATTGTAAATCCCTTGTAAACTGCCTCAGCGCTAGCCCTTGTATCACTCGGTGTCATAAATAGTTCAGAGTGCTTAGATTATTATTTATTTGTGTTGATTTGCCAAACAGAAAGTCGAATATATCCCATTTGTTTGTTTGTACGGAATCAAATTAGTTCCACAATTTGTAACAAATGGGATTTAAAATACACGATCTGATAATTCGTAGTTTTCCATTGTCTTGTTTATAGTAGTGTTAATATAACCTAAGCATTCTAACGTTGGTCTTTTGACCACAGTAAAACTGAGATCAAAATTTTTAAACTTCATTGCCACAGTTTACAAAGTAATTCTTAAAAACTTTATTATTATTCATTATAAAAATTTGTGATCAGTTAGTTTAACATAACATTTTTGTCTGCTGATTTTGATATCTGATAAAGTGACAAGATAAAGTGAAGTATATTTGATCTAGACATTTTGACATTTATCATTTTCTTTGTTGATATTTATATAGCAATTATGTTAATTTATAGCTAATTTATGAACTGCACATGGACCTTGTGCACAGCAGGAAAAAAGAATTTTCTTCCTGGGAGCACAACCTGGAGACAAAAATTACCTGCAGACCAACGGAGTATTTTTGTACTAAATCTGTATGTGCATGAACATATAGTGTTGTAGCTGGGACCATGGTTTTAAACTTAAGGAATAATGTCTGTCAACTATATGTTTTTGCGCCCATAGTGGGAGATGGTGTTAGGTTTCCTTCAAATTTTCAATAGCAAATCTTGATTCAAACGAATTTCCTGCACCTGTTTAACATTTCCTGCGAGCAGTGCTCCCGTGCTCGCCTATTTTTTCCATCCCTGACCTTGTGTACACATACCCATGTTTCACACACAATAGGTTTAGGGAAGGGGTTGAAGAGAACATGCACAAAACAGGAGGATATTACCCAAATGCATCTGGTTTCAGTAATCGTCTGGTCAGATCTGTTCAAATTTGTCCAGTTTTTAAATTGTGCAAATTCATGTAACATGTCATATTTTCTCATTCTAGGTGTTGGTAAAAGCAGTCTTTTACTTCGTTTTGCAGATAACACATTCACTGGTAAATAAATTTGACATCTGTGTTGATTAAAATTTAACATATAGGAAGTAGATGCATCAGCCATGTTGGTGTTGGAATATAGAGTGAAAGATACAAGATTCTTTTGTTGAAATCCATCCCCACCATGGCGGTTGTGATGTGCAGTTGACATGTACATTTACTAGTCCGCATAAAACCAACTCAATGTGTTGTTTTCTGCAGGTACATATATCACTACAATTGGTGTAGATTTTAAAATTCGTACGATTGAAATAAACGGCGAAAAAATCAAACTACAAATCTGGGACACGGCTGGACAGGAGAGATTCAGAACTATTACATCAACGTGAGTATTCCACCGGTTGTCAATTCATGTGGGGGAGGTTTGATGTACCATTGTTTCCATCTAAGGATGAATTTTCATGTTTGTAACAAACATTTGAACATTTCAGACACAGTTTGAAGAAATTAAAACCTCTCAAATGATACTGACATTACAAACATGAAAGTTTCACATGAGAATAGACAACGTTTTTATCTGTGACTGTTCATCCCTATACTGTATACGACATAACATATAAATGTATAAAACTGTTTTCAACACTAAATACATATGGTCAATTTCACCAGGTATTACAGAGGGACTCATGGTGTTATAGTAGTGTATGATGTAACATGTGCTGAAACATTTGTGAACGTGAAAAGATGGCTTCAGGAAATTGAACAAAATTGTGATGACGTTGCTAGAATATTAGGTAGATCAACCTAACTTTATTTACATTGAATAACTCGTTATTAATTAATTTAAACTGTTTACGCTAGAGGTCTAGCGAGGGTCATTGCTTATTGACCCAGTGTTACTGCATGAGGAAAGTCAGGAAACCAGAGTACCAGGAGAAAATCTATAGTATTTGGTAGAGTCTAGGGTTGGGCGATATTAAAAAAATCATCTCACGATTATTGTGGAGGAAATTATCGCGATATTCGATAATATCGCGATAAATGCAATAAAATCAATGACAAGTAAAACAACAAATTAAAGTAATAAGAAGGCTTTTTCTTGTCTAATATTTACTGTTCATAAACCTGAACTGTCTATGCAGTCAATGATGCAGTGTCTACTGTGTCTCCGCAGGCACAAATGCCGTGGGCACACAGGCGCAAGCAAGGCAGCAATTTGTCAATTTCATTGTTCAGCGGATTAATTACATAAATATTAGCTTTTATATCGTATTAAATTCGTATTTAATTCAGGAAATAGTTTTAATTCTTTTAAAAACTATATTTTCTATGAATTGAAGGGATTTTTTAGGATTTTATAAAAGCTACATACACATGCGAAGCAATATCACGATAGTCAACGAGCATGACGATAATTTCGATATATCGTCGCTCAAGTGTCTACCTTCGATACGATAATCGTGATTGACAATATCGCGATAAATCAAAATATCGAAATATCGCCCAACCCTAGTAGAGTCAAACAGGAAACACACTTCTCACAAGTGACCAAAGTAAAATTCACTATTTTTGCAGTTGGTAATAAAGATGATTGTCCGGAAAGGAAGGTGGTCGTCACAGAAGATGCGGCAAATTTTGCTGAACAGACTGGCATCACATTGTTTGAAACTAGTGCCAAAGATAACCTTAATGTAGAATCGGTAAGTATAGGTAGCTTTACTAAGCACTGCCCTGCAGTACCAGATGGTGGTCTACCTGCAGTTCTCAGAGTGAAAAAATAATGTCAATTCTTTCCATATTAAGTTCTTTATATGTTTGCATGGCGATAAAATATAATTGTTTTTGTTTGTGGAAACACCACGTAAATTTATTACTGCAAAGCTTTCGATCCGTAAGCCCGGATCTTCATCAGTGCTAGTAATATGTTATTAACACCTTCGTTCACCATACTTACCCGTTTGGATGGTGAGGTGTTAGCCCGGGTGACCGAGGGGTGGCCTGGAACGACTACTGGTACTACTGTTACTTGGACTCGGGTTAAGATCCATGCCAGTGGTATCTTGAGCAGACCACCCCCGCAGGGCTAACACCTTCACACCAATTAACAATTGGTGGAAATATAAAAGAACAGGAGAGAAAAAAATATCTTTGTTCCTAATACGTTTACTACGCTTCCAACGCACAATGATTACTAATACCACCAATGCGCGACCAACCTCTTATTACATACTCGCCCGGCCCCCTTTTGGTCACATGATGTGCCGACGTAACGAGGCTTGGTTCCCTAGCTGTTAACCTTTGTTATTGCATAACCTCATTTATTATATTATTAGCACTGATGAAGATCCGGGCTTACGGATTGAAAGCTTTGCAGTAATAAATTTACGTTTACGTGGTGTTTCCACAAACAAAAACAATTATCTTTCCATATTATCATGTATTAGTCTTGTATTTAAAGGCAATTACTTAGATAAAGTTAAGAGATGTACTTAGATTTTCTTGCCCCTATAAAGTGCTAATACTGAAGAGATGTAGTTCTTAGAATGGCTAGTTAGTAAATTGTGATCCTAAACCCAAAATATTTTGCTTAACTCTAGGTGTTTGTAGATATAACAAAGAACGTTCTTGCCAAACGAAAGGAACAAACAAGAATGACAGAACAGTCTGGAATAAAACTCAAAAAAGACAAAGATAAACGCAAAAAGAAGAAGTCACGGTGCTAAAAAGATAACCCACAATACCTACTTGTTCAGCCACAAATGCTCTGGGAACATTGTTTCATGTCCTAGGAAAATAGACATAAAAACACTGTACATGTACATAAAGAATATTGTATTGTCATGTTTTATTAGTCAGGAAAATATTCGAGATGAATTGTCCTGTATGATAGCATTGCAGATGTAATACAAAATAAATTGTGAATGAAAGTTCCATCAGGATTTGAGAAGAAGTATTGTACATTTTAAATGTGCAAGATTGCGAAAATCAGTCCTCCTCTTGTCTTTTTCAAATAATTTGTTTATGATGGGACTTTTATTAATATTCACAGTTTGTTTTGTACTGTCTAGAGGCAGTGGATAGCAGTACAATACATGAGATCCCATACATTTCTGTCGTCTTTTTGCTCAATTAAAAGAGATAGTTTGAAATTTGACTTTTACCATATGCATAATACATCTACAGTAAAATATTCACCATTTGCCAATATTAAATTCCAGTAAATTATCTGAGAAAATTCTTGACAGTTTCCAGAAATTCTTTAGGTTTGTCAGCATGCACAAAGTGCCCTGCACCTGGTATCATCTCAAGCTGGGCATTTGGAAACATTTTTCTCATTTCATTCATGTCGACATTTCTGAATAAAAAGAACAAAATGTTTCTTCACAAATGAAAATAAATTGCCATTTAAATATCTACAATGATACACAATATAACAAAGATATTGCTTGCTTAGGTTAGGAGTAATTTAACAAGCATAGTAGCCAAGTACAAATTAGCCTGCGAACAGGCCCTGGGTTGCGGGCGGCGCGAAGAATAGAGGGCCTGCACGGATGATAGGTTTTCTTGGTAGTGGCGTTCGTATAGAAACGCAGGCTTCTGATTGGCTTACACTCGTTGACAAAATTACTAAAAATAGCAAATGTCAACAACAGCATTTTGAAGAATTTGAACTTTATTCATTTTAATATTATATATTATAGGACTATCGAACAAATAAAACTAGAAGTGGAGACCAAAAGCAATAGCAAAGCATCACAGCAAAAAAGTCTATCATAAATGACTTGAATCTATCGCTTAAATCCAATATACGAAACTATAACAGTATTCTGAACTTCGTCTTCGGATTGACATCAGACTATACTCACTATAGTATAGTACATTTTGAGGTCGTCGTGGCTTCACGGATTATTCTCATTAGTGAGCAAGTCAGCAAGCGAAGGCATACAAAAGATACCCAAATATGTACGAATAATTATATTGTTGATCCTCGCTGGCATGTCATTTAGATAAATATATATCGTACATTAAACCACGGTTAATAGAATCTAATTCTATTAACCGTGATTAAACGTTGTACTATTTGCTGTATATTAACTGCTGACAATTTCGTCGTCGATACGGCTTCCACTACTGGCACACTCGTGATTTCGAAGAAATTAATAAATACATGCTCATTTATCATTTATTTAGACCACAGTTAGTAAAATTTTAAACGTATTCGGTATTCCAAATCCCAATCTATCTGACCGTATTTTAGTAATAGCTTCAAAATATTCAGAACATTGTTCTTTCAGTCGCACATAGTACAAGTATTACTGTACATTCAAAGCCAATGGTAGTATTTTATTCGGCTTTATATTTGTATGTGTATTGATATCTATTTAATATTTGAATTCTATGCCTTTCCGAGTAATATATTGTGCGGCTAATGTTTTGTATTATTGTTCATGTTGCACAATGTACACGCCTTGCGTCAATTTTTTCAGTTGACAGTTTATTTATCGCAGTCGACGCTGATTGGTTAGCGTTTAGCAGATGCGAAAAGGGGATGAATGAATAAAACGCATGGTTCCGTGCAGGCTCACCTTTCTCCCAGTGAGCCTGTTCGCAGGCTACTGGTAGTCAAGCTTTTTAAACAAAGTTATACTTTACAAAGAAAACGAGTGTTACTTCTTGTTTTTAATAAATTGTAGTATACTGGCCAAAAAAATATTACTTGTTTCCATGGCGACAGCGAGACACGAGCTGGCAACAAAGCGAAGCGGCATGCATAGTGTAAACACCCTTGTTTTTTACTTCGGAGTGAAAATTAATCCGGTATGAAAATCAATCCGGTATAGTGTAATTCCAGCCTTAATGTAGTAAAACTCATACCTGGAAAATATCTTTTGACATTGATGCAAATGTTATAGTCAACAAAATTATCCTTAACATAATCATGACAGGAGCATCTAGTTCTCTATGGATGCGCTTGGGTGTCTTTGCAGTTTCGTTTTCCTTTGCAATTTCGTTTTCCTTTGCAGTTTCGTTTTTTCTTTCCATTGAATTTCTGCAGTTTTTACCATGATCTTGAAAATTTACGGAAAGTATAAAATTTATAACCCAAGACGGTAACTGACAATGTTCTTACAATTTGTGGCCCTATGTTTGCATGACTCTGACTGTTGCTGCTTAGAAAACTTAGAATGCACTTGACATCTTATACGTACGCACAGGCGGCACAGCCATCGCGAAGAGGACAAGCTAGAGGTTTTCGGCAGGGGCGTTTGTCTCTGGGTGTCTTCCCAAATGAACTATTCAATTAAATGTAATTTTGTAATTGGACATATCTCTACTCTGACGAGAATCTTATGACAGTACTCCTCGTGTCAATAAAAATAACATGTTTCTGTATTTTAACTGAGCATTATCAACATTTTATTCACAATTCAATTAATATACTGTAAATTAAGAACTGCAACTGCATACTTGTTCTTAATTTTTAAATATCATAAGTAACCGCATGCAAAGAAACACTGACGAAAATAACCATTGGTGTTTGTCGGCGAGGATCAAAACAGCTATATATTTTGCTTTTAATAATATTAATCATGATTTTCCATGTCATTTAAAATTCCACATTAAACTTTCTGAAAAACGTCGTTTGCATTGGCCAACAGACAGATAACTTTCATATCTGCATGATCTTTATTTAACGGAAATTTCTTTACTTGCCGAAAAATGACAATATGCATAATATGATGACGATATTTTTTAGGACATTTGAAATAGATTTAAGTTCCCCTTTAACAAATCGTCCATTTTTAAAATATTTTTTGTTTGCAAACAAATTCTTCATCTGGAGGAGTGTCTCCCCCCCCCCACACACTTAGTGATGGCACTATACGTACGCTCCTGCATGGCTTGTCTATTCACGTGCACCTTTTATCCTGAATATCATGCAACTTCAATTGACCATTTGCGTAATAGACTAAATTTTGATCTCAACAAAAATTTCATTACAGCTTGAAAGAGCATCACAAAATTAGTAATATTCCAAAGTTTCGTTGCGAAATGTTGTAAAATGCGGAAAATATAGCCTTGCGAAATTTGCAATTTTCAGTCATTTTAGATTACAAACCGGAATTGACAGCCTCGAAGGGTTTGGGGCTGTCAATTTCCCGTTTGTAATCTAAAATGACTGAAAATTGCAAATTTCGCAAGGCTATATTTTCCGCATTTTACAACATTTTGCAACGAAACTTTGGAATATTACTAATTTTGTGATGCTCTTTCAAGCTGTGATGAAATTTTTGTATAGACTTGTTTAGTTCAAAATTTAGTCTATTACGCAAATGGTCAATTGACCACTTGCGTAACAGACTAAATTTTGATCTCAACAAGTCTAGACAAAAATGTCATCACAGCTTGAAAGAGCATCACAAAATTAGTAATATTCCAAAGTTTCGTTGCGAAATGTTGTAAAATGCGGATAATATAGCCTTGCGAAGTTTGCCGTTTTTCAGTCATTTTCTATTAACGGGAAATTGACAGCCCCAAAGGGTTTTGGGCTATCAATTTCACCCGCGTAATGCAAAATGACTGAAAAACGGCAAACTTCGCAAGGTTATATTATCCGCATTTTACAACATTTCGCAACGAAACTTTGGAATATTACTAATTTTGTGATGCTCTTTCAAGCTGTGATGAAATTTTTGTCTAGACTTGTTGAGATCAAAATTTAGTCTATTAGGCAAGTGGTCAATTGCCAAATAACTTCCTCGAAATTTATTCACAGGGGGTGGGGTTACACCATTCTCAGCTAGTTGTTACACAGGTGGCCCAGGCTCTGTTTGGGTATTTAGTTATTTTTTATTTTATTGTATTTTGCATTAAAAATTTCCTTTAAATTATAAAGTATAACTTACTTAGTTTCCTTTAATCTTTATGTGATTTTGGGATGATTTTAGTTTGATATAAAGACATGGAAATTCATCCTGTGTTACTCAACTGGATCGCAAACTTTCTAACAGACAGACAACAAAGAACCCGTTTGGTCAGTTCTTTTCTGAGCGGCGTTCTACAAGGAACAAAGCTTGGCCCGCTATTATTTTTGATTATGATCAATGACTTGGCTGTGGCGGATGAAACTGTTAAATTTGTTGATGATACTAGCCTTTGGGAAATAATATCAAACAATTCCCCGTCCTAGTTACCCGCTAACATCATCAGCTGCTCTGAATGGTCATCGGTCAATAATATGAAGTTAAATGTATCAAAGACCAAAGAATTGCGTGTCTGCTTTCCTAACCTTATTCCATCATTTGCCCCTATTACCATCCGTGGTCAAGAGGTCGACGTCGTTTCCGAGGCAAAATTATTGGGCGTTGTTCTTTCAGACGATCTTAAATGGAACCGCCATATTGACTACATTTGCAAGAAAGCCGCGAAGCGTTTGTATAGTCTGCGCCTTCTTAAAAGAAATGCTTTACCTTCTCATATCCTGATCTCAACCTATTGCACACATATTCGACCAATTGTGGAATATGCTTGTCAGGTGTGGCATTATGGCCTTCCTCAGTACCTGAGTGATCAAGTCGAAAAAATCCAAAAAAGGGCATTAAAAATTATTTTTCTTGGAACTACCTATGCTGAATGTTTGCTTAAAGCAAACTTAATGACCCTTTATGAACGTAGAATAGTTCTTTGCACGCGCCTTTTTTCGAAGATGTGGAACCCACTCATAAACTGAATGCCTTATTAAGGTACCGCCTAAAAATCTTCAAACTTATGATCTGAGGTCTTATTCTAACCTATTAGTACCTAGGTGTAGAACTGAACGTTTTTCGAACAGTTTCATTCCTGCTGCGTCTCGTGCTTATAATAATAAGTAAACTTTAGTTTATTATCGTGATTTTTTATCTAATTTACCTATTTTTACTTGTAAATATAGAATAGTTTGAATATCTATGTCCTTATACCTTGTAATTCCAAAGTAATTCAGTTGTTACTGCTAGTTTGGAAATTTATAATAATAATAATAATAATAATAATAATAATAATAATAATAATAATAATAATAATAATAATAATAATAATAATAATAATAATGGAAACTTTTTATTAGATATTTACGATATACTATATATACATTGATAAACCTCACTTAATAAAAGGTAGCTTATCGATGTCCACTTGACTTGAGTTTAAAGCTGAAATAATAATAATAATAATAATAATGAAAACTTTATTGAATTTCTTACGTATATATACAATTGTAAATCTCACTACTGACTTAGGTAATTTACAATTGGCTACATGAATCACAGAGTACTACATATGTACTATCTACAGTAAAACAAGAATAAAATGGGTATATGATTATATATATTATTTTATGTAGTTATTAATTTAAATGTTTAACAATTCAGGGTTTGTCCACTCTTTGTTTCGACAGCAAAAAATATAGTACGTTGCTCTAATGGCATAAGACGTCATCTTTTTTTATGCAGTAATGTTGCTGGTTTTTATCCATTCCTATAGCGACTAACATTTCTAAAAAGGTGAAGCATTCTTTGTCAAACACACCGAGAGAGCTCATTGATAAATTTACAAATTTAACAGAACTGAAGTGACCCCTTTGATCTTCAATTAGGTCTTTATATTTAGCTTTTTTGCTTTCAACGTTATTATGTAGGTTAGATTCAAACCCGACAGTAAGTTCAACGACATAAAGATCTTCATTTGGAGTAATTAGGAGTAAGTCCGGTCGATATATGTAACCAGTTATAATTGACGGGCTTTTGTAGCCAGGTAGGTCAGCATAAAGTCGACATGGATTTATTGTTTGAAACGTTTCAGCGAGAAAGTTTAAAATAGAATCATGTCTCCATGTAAAGCGCTGAAGGTACGATTAGCAGCCGGCTACCACGTGTAGTAGGGTTTCAGGACACAAGCAAAAGGAACATTCGGGACTTGAAGCTAAACCTCATCTGGTAAGATTTTTTCGCGTAGGAAGGAGCTATTTATGTAACGGACGGTGAAGTTGAAAATGTTCTTTGGCAGTTTTGATTGAGCCGCAGACCAAAGTGTGTTTAACTGTGAAAGGGAAAACTTAGCAACATTCGAGAAAAATGAACCTTGACAAATTAAGCGGTGCTGAAGCATGTCTTCTTGTCCAGAATGAAAATCCTTAATAACTTCCTTTGTTGAATTATATATGTCATATTGAATATTAGTGTGATTGTTAGTTGATTTCCAGAGTTCTTTTATAGAATCATTTGGGGATGTTTTTAAGGCATTGCGTAGGAATGTTTGACACTGGATAAATTTGACGGATGCAGGGAGGATATTCAGACCAAATTTGTTATGGGTTAGATAAATATTACTTAATGTTCCAGAAATGGGTATTTCAAGCCACTTTCTGATGTATTGATCAATCACAGAATCGATTGTTTCCGTTACCCAGGTTTTCGACAGGGGTGCAACAGTGAGATGCCAGGATATTTTGGATAGAACGTAACGGTCATGTATAGAAGAAGTTTGTTTTTTTGGGTGTAGAGGTTTATGGTCGATATCAGACATTAGTTCATCAATGAGGGACATTAGTTCAGATTTGTGGTCGTGGTCGGACATATCAAAATCAAATAATCTTCCTAGATATTTAAAAGATTCTCCCATTTGAATAGTAGGTATGAGACCATTGTTAATTAGTAGTTTCGGTAAGTACTGAACGGATTTTGTCAAAACTTTCTTGATGCCAAAGGTACTACATTTATTAACTCTGATTATCATATTCGACCATTGACACCAGATTGTGAATCGGTTTAAGAGGTGTTGGTTTTCATAATCTTGGCCAGTGATAACAGCCGCGTCATCAGCGAATTGAAACCAGTGAATGGGATTGAGGAAGTTAAACATGAAACCAAATTGACGGTACTTGTCAGCTTTTATGTTCTGAATGAATGTATTAAAGCACATGTTGAACAGCAGAGGGCTCAGACAGTCGCCTTGTAACACACCACGGCCAACAGTTATGAACGGAGTGCGGAATTCAGAAGTTATCACGGAAGTTTTAAAATCAGTATATAAACTTTTGATAACATTTTTGATGTGGTCAGGAATATGATAATATTCAAGTATAGATTGAATTAAGTTGTGATGAACTTCATTTGATTTTGAATTTTATTAATGACATTGTTTTAATTTAGTATATATAGAACTCTTAATTCTTATTTTATTTACTTGATAATGACGTGTGTTAACGTCGAAACGTCGTCGGTTTTTTTAGAACTTTTTATTACATTCTGAAATGATTTTCAGAAACATTTTAGCGCAACATTTTATTGTGAAATAATAATAATGGAAACTTTATTTATTTCATAATATACCATAAAACTATATTTACATTGATAAACCTCGCTCATAAAGGTAGTTTATCGATGACTACTTGAAAAATACTTGGATTATATAAATTTACAAAAATAGGGAATTTAATATTGTTCAAAATATTAGAAGCTCTGGGCTAGTCCAGTCTTTGTTTCGCTGACAGAATACATAATATGATGTGCGAATACAAATAGCAATGATTTTCGTTTTAATGTATTTAATTGTTGTTCATCGAACTTCAGTTCCTTGAGCATATCAGTTAAGGTGTTCGTCGATTGACCAAAAACGCCTAGCGAGCTTATGGATACATTAACAAATTTTACCTTATCATAGTTACTTTCTTGATCTGAAATAAGCGGCAGGTATTTTTTATGTTTTCGATCTGAGTTAGAGTTAAGATTTGTTTCAAAGCCAACAGTCAGTTCCAAAACATATAAAACTTTATTTTCAATTGCCAAGAGAAGGTCTGGACGTAACTGGTCACCAGTGATAACTGACGGTGTAATAAAGCCAGGGAAATCTACGTAGAGTTTGGATCGCTCAGCACTCATAAGGCTGGATGCAATGAAGTTCAGGACTGAATTATGTCGCCACGTAAACTCGCCCTTCATCTAGATATGCTTTACAACCAGAGATAACATGCAGGAGTGACTCAGGAGAAGAGCAAAAGGAACAATCAGCAGACGATGACAAACCCCATTTGACCAGGTTTTTCCGAGTAGGGAGGGAGTTGTTGATATAGCGGACAGTGAAATTAAATATATTCTTAGAAGTCTGCATTGAACGGATGACCTTAAGGAATTGAATGATGACGTGGAGTTTTTGATGATACTTGAGAAGAACGAACCTTGTGAGATAAGGTGGTTTTGTAGTCTCTGTTCATTTTCATTCCTAAAGGCTTTCAAGACATCCTTCGTATTTTTGTATATATAATAATAATAATAATAATAATAATAATAATAATAATAATAATAATAATAATAATAATAATAATGGAAACTTTAATAATTTTGTTATATACTATATATATACAATTGTAAATCTCACTAATTTAAGGTAACTTACAATTGGCTATTTGAATCACAACTATATCAACTAATAAAAGACAGGATACATGAAAATATATAAATATACAAGACAATCAGATATTTCAAATAGTTAACAAGTCCGGACTTTCCCATTCCTTATTTCGGCAGCAAAAAATATAGTGTGTACTTCGAATGGCAATAGTCATCATTTTCCTAACACAGTACGTTTGGTAGTTTTTGTCCAGACCAACATTTTTTAACATTTCTAAGAATGTAGAGCATTCTTGCGCAAAAATGCCTAGGGAGCTCATAGAAAGATTTATAAAGTTTACTTCGTTAAAATTTTCGTCTAGTTGTTTTACTAGTTCTTTATATTTGGCTTTTTTCCGATTAACGTTGTTCTCGAGGTTTGTCTCATAGCCAACAGTGAGCTCAACCACATAAAGAGAGCCATTTGATAACGATAGCAACAAATCCGGGCGATACGTATCACCAGTTATTATTGAAGGACTTTTGAATCCAGGCACATCAGCGTAGAGGGCAGAACCGTTCACAGTTTGCAAGGTATTGGCAAGGAAGTTCAGGATTGAATTGTGTCTCCACGTAAATCGATCGAGATAACACTGACATCCAGCGACCACGTGCAATAATGATTCTGGGCCAAAACAAAAGGAGCATTCTGAACTTGAAGACAATCCCCATCTGCTAAGGTTCTTGCGTGTCGGAAGAGAGTTATTGATATAGCGTATGGTAAAGTTATAAATGTTTTTCGGAAGTTTTGATTGAGCAGTAGACCACACTTTGCTAAGATACGACAAGGAGAACTTTGTTACACTAGAGAAAAAGGATCCCTGACAAGTTAATTGATTTTGGAGTTTATCTTCATGTTCAGACCGAAAGTCTTTAAGCACTTCTTTGGTTGAGTTATAAAAGTCGTATTGGATATTAGTATGAGTATTAGTAGATTTCCACAGTTCGTTGATTGATTGATTTGGAGAAAGTTTTAAAGCTTTTCGAAGAACTGTTTGGCATTGGATAAATTTCACCGATGGAGGATAAATACTTTGACCAAATTTGTTGTGAGTTAGAAAAACAGTACTTAGTGTTCCTGAGATTGGAATTTCAAGCCATTTACGGATGTACTGGTTGACTACGGGATCAATATTTTCAATAACCCATGTTTTAGAAAGTGTTGCGATGGTGAAATGCCACGATATTTTGGATAAGACATAACGACTGTATACGAGAAGCTTATTTCTTGGGTGGAGTGGCTTCGAGTCAATATCAGTCATTAGTTCGTTAACGAGAGTGGTTAGTTCAGTCTTATGGTTATCGTTCGACATGTTAAAATCAAAGTAACGTCCTAAATATTGAAATGCTTCTCCAATCTTTACTGTTGGTATCAGATTATTGCTGATGATGAGTTTCGGCAAATATTGGACTGATTTTGTGATGGCTTTCTTGATGCCAAAGGTACTACATTTATCGACTCTGATAATCATATTGGACCATTGGCACCAGATGGAAAAACGATTTAGGAGATGCTGGTTTTCAGATTCTTGGCCAGTGATTACGGCTGCGTCATCAGCGAATTGGAACCAGTGGATAGGATTTAATAGCTTGAAGGAGAAGCCAAACTGACGGTACTTTTCAGCTTTGATATGTTGGTATATTATTATTATTTATATTATTATTAGTATATTATTATTATGATTTTGATATGTTGATATATTATTATTATTATTAATAAATATAATAATAATAATAATAATAATAATAATAATAATAATAATAATAATAATAATAATAATAATAATAATAATAATAATAATAATAATAATAATAATAATAATAATAATAATAATAATAATAATAATAATAATAATAATAATAATCGATCATGTGATTGAATGTCGAAGACCTGATATTGTAGTGGTTTTAAAGAAGGAAAAGGAGTGCAAGATCATAGACATCGCAGTTCCAGGGGACTGTAGAATTGGTTTAAAAGAAACAGAGAAGGTAGAAAAGTATGAGGAGTTGAAAAGAGAAATTCGGAAAATATGGGCAGTGAAGAAGTCATTCCAATAGTAGTAGGTGCCTTAGGAGCAGTTAGTAATAAACTGGATAAGTGGATTGAGAAATTGGGAATACATATAAGAATAGAACTTCTACAAAAAACAGCATTGTTAGGGACGGCAAGAATACTGAGAAGAAGCTTGGAAAGCTAAAATCTTTGGGACCTGAGGCTACTGGTTGTAGCCATAATAATAATAATAATAATAATAATAATAATAATAATAATAATAATAATAATAATGATAATAATAATAATAATAATAATAATAATAATAATAATAATAATATTAAAATAATAATAATAATAATAATAATAATATTAAAATAATAATAATAATAAAATAATAATGTAAACACATTTTATTTCATTTCATACAAATATTAGTAACCAGCTCTCACTAAAGTATTATAGGCAACCTGGCTACATTATGGTACAAAAGATTAAGAAAAAAATACAATGTTAAACTAAGCTTAAAATATTTACAAATCATCAAAATGGAATTTCTACAGAAATGCTATTACAATGGTTATTTTAAAATACGTTCGTAAGGTAACAACGTAGACAGTGTCAAATAAGATAACTGTACATACACATGACAGCATGAATCCTACCAATATAAAAGTTCAGGGCAAGACCATTGTCTGTTTCTAGAGAAAAATATATAATAACTTGTCCTTATGCAGCAGCCGGTTAGTTTTCTAATGATGAATTTTCTTTGCATATCGCTTAATCTTACTTCGCGGTCCAAAAAGTCATAGAACTGTTTACATTCATGACTTAAAACTCCAATCGCGCCCATGCATAAGTTAAATACGTTACTTTGTTAAATCGTTCTCTTAAAAAGTTACAAAGATCCTTGTATCGTTCCCTTTTCCTTAAACAGTTTTTTGCCATATTAGTTTCAAAGCCGATTGTCAATTCAATAACATATATATTTTGGTTGTTGTCTGATATTACCAAGTCTGGTCGGTCATTACAGCCTGTGATCACAGATGGATTATCAAAACCAGAAATGTCTGCATAAACGTGAAAGTCCCTTCTGACACTAGATATGTACGTTGCTAGGTGTTTCAGCACTGAATTATGTCTCCATGTGTATCGACCTTCGTCCAGGGATGTTTTGCAAGAAGACACTATATGTTGTAGTGTTTGCACATTCAAGCAGAAATGACACAGATTATTTTGAGCTTTCTTCCACAAAACCATGTTTGTTAATGTAGGTAGGGTGTTATTTAAATATCTAGTTACGAAGTTGTATATGTTTTTAGGGAGTTTGTCAACTGCCGAGTGCCAATCTTTCGCTGTACCCTGGAAAGCATCTCTCCAAATCGACTTAATTATAAGACTCTGCGACGTTAGCTTGCTTTCAATATTAAAGATCTTATCTTTCCTAATTTCTTTGGCAACCTGTTTTGGGGTGGAGAAACCATCGTACTGCACATTACAGTTTGAGCTAGATGCGTAGAAAAGGTTTTGGGTGTCTAGACAACTCGAGTCTTTTAATTTATTTCGCAAAATTACTTGACATTCAGTGAATTTTGTTGATACATCAATGATGTCGAAACCGACTTTGGATTTCCCAAGAAGCAATATGTCAAGGGTGCCGTTTGGTGGTATCTCAAGCCATGTCCGAAATTTATTGTGGCACATTGTGTCTAAAGTTTGCTTTATCCATGTTCTATCAATGTCTGCAATAGTGAGATGCCAAGATATTTTCGGGAGCAGATATTTCATATATAACTCAAGCTTAAATTTTGAGTGTAGAGGGAGACGATCGATTTTTTCTAAGATGCTGCTAGTCTCAGACAGCAAGAACTGTTTATGTTCTACGTTATCCATCGGGAAGTTGTAAAATCTACCGAGATAACAAAAGCTTTCGTTCCCCTTTACCGCTGTAATTAAGCCGTGGTTAACGTAAATTTTCGGAAAATACTGCTTGGATAATGAGTTCCTTTTGATAATTCCGAATGACTTGCATTTGTCGACTCTTAGCGTCATTTTTGCCCAATTACACCACATGGTGAATGCATAATAATAATAATAATAATAATAATAATAATAAAAACATCATGAGAATGCGACTTAATACACATAGACATAGTCAGGCAGATAGAGGATTAAATTATGGAAAACTTACGATATCGTGGGACAATTCTATTTTGCCTTCATATTGTGCCCTGAAGGCTAGTAAGTTCGTTTCTGTATGTTGGCCGCGTTAAAATTTCTTGTGGGCTCCTGCCACAGCCCACAGGGGGTCCAACTAAGAGCTGTGTTATGAATATGAATAAAACATTAATTAAACGTAATATGAATAAAACATCATGATGTAATATATTTAAATTATTGCACTTACTTGTATAAATCATAAGAGCTTGCATTTGCAGTGAATAGCTTCAAACAGGGCGCTTATATATCCTCAGAAACATAATTGCTTCGAATGATTGTTCAAATATGGCGAATAAATTGACAAAACGAAATATTACATGACGTTCCAACGAAAATAACAGCAGGGATTGCGGGCGCGAGCCGCGAGCGGAAGGCGAGGGTAATAGATATTAATAGAAGGGATGAAACACCGGTAATGCGATCGTGTGATGTGTTCCATAAGTAGCCACGCCTCCTGCCAACTCCAACAACGCCTACGCGCTTAATTAATGGAAATAAACAATGTTTAGCTATACCGGCTAATATGAAATATTTAAATGTAGCGACCAACGTTGTTTTTTTTACATTATTTAGTTTTATTATTATTTAGTCATACGTCACGAGAACAGGCTACTTGTGGAACACATCTCGCGAAAACGGCCAAGAATGCTCGCTGTTATATATCAAATAAATTAGATTGATCAGTACTTTTTTTGGTAATGACTAGGCTTGTTCATGTAAAAGAGAACATCGACTGAGCCCTAAAAATACCACAAAAAGCTTAAACGGATAGTCTAGAAGGGTGGCCGGACATTTTACCGAAAGACACTTTGCCGAAAATTCGCGATATAAAGAATAACATCATTCAACATCATTCATAAATGTGATTTCTCCTGTGAATGTATTCCATGATTCTCGAAGTGAAATTCGCTTACGTCGTCTTTATATACGCTTGTTTGTTTACGATCTGACGTCAAAACACGTTCCAAACAAATGAGTCATCCGCTGCACCAACAAGCTACCAATAGTCAATATGGTTATGCACTGCTAACAACCATTATGCACAGCTAATGACCCATTATATATGCACTGCTAATGACCATATAATGGTTATTTTAGTTGAGAAATGAGTTACAGTCATTTCCGGGTACCTATATATGCTCAGAAACATTGCTTCGAACGATTGTTCAAATATGGCGAATAAATTGACAAAAAATATATATTACATGACGTTCCAACGAATATAACAGCAAGGATTGCGGGCGGGCGAGCGAAAAGGCGAGGAAGAAAGAAGGGATAAAACAAATATCACGTTACTTTTTAAATTTATTCGCCATATTTGAACAATCGTTCGAAGCAATGTTTCTGAGCATATATAAGCGCCCTGTTTGAAGCTATTCACTGCAAATGCAAGCTCTTATGATTTATACAAGTGCAATAATTTAAATATATTACGTTATGATGTTTTATTCATATTACATTTAATTAATGTTTTATTCATATTCATAACACAGCTCTTAGTTGGACCCCCTGTGCTCCTGCCGACACGTTTTCCTTCGAATTTTGTATTAATCTCTATCACAGTTAAAAAATGTAAAATTTCTGATACATTTCCGATACAAATGACTTGCATCAATAGAAAGCTAACAAAAAAACTACATATAAGACAGTTAAATGATTAGTTGGGATTTTCAAGCGGTTTTCGAGTTATTGCTGTTTCAAATGTGAAAAATAGGTACGCGACGCGTACATGTTGCATGCCAATAAAACTTAATAACTGATCTACAAAATCATTTGGGGGGTGCACATGTTTTCGGGGTGTGGGGGTGCACACTCCTCCATCCGTCTTTGTTATAAGCAAATATCTGTCTAAATCTAGGCTTGCAGAGATACGACTTTCTAACACGAGACATCTATAGAAAACTTACTTCATTAGTAAACTAATGCAACGATAGATAACGTTTGATAATAATCAACACAAATAGTACAATACTCAATAAGATTTATTTTGCAAGATGGCTACTGTATATACAAAATTGGAATTACAGTATGGGTTACAGTCAATTTTTCAATATATAAAATAAGTCTATAAGTCAGTGATTTAATTACAACCCATTCCACAATTTTCAAAGCTTGCCAAAAATGGTCAATGACAGCGTGAATTATAAATAACGAACATTCAGCTAGTGAAAACTAAAAGACGAGTCACTTTTCTATGACAATAGAACACGTGTTATTGCATATTACAGTACATGTTCTACCCATGCAGTTTAAGTTTGAAGATGTTGATTATGATGCATATCAAGTCCATTGTTGGTATAACAGGAACTCACGCACGATAATTGTTGGCTCGATTATGAGTATTCGAACAGGTGCAATGTACCGTACAACAAAGTACTTCTTTAAGTACTGTGCATCTTTCTTAATTATCAAGTCTTCCTTGACGCGTTAACTTTTCTTTCTACTGTGCGTGCGACTTCGTTGAGTAGCCTTTCCCTTAACATGTTTTGGTATCAGAGCCAAGTGCAATGTACTGTACCGTACAACAAATATCCAAGTCGTATCTTCAAGTACTGTGCATCTTTCTTAATTTTCAAGTCTTCCACCCTGAATTTTCAGAATACATAACGACGCAACTGTAGACGTTTTAAGTTTGGTAGCTGAATTGAATTATTTCATTTTCGAATATTCATTGACATAAGATGATACATCATTCAATATGATTATCCACCAACGTTGTCAGGCGCAAGCAAATGAAAGGCATATTATTGTATACGTCTGATATCTGTAAATATTAATGCGACAGTATTAGTGGATGCAATTATGTATACAGTAATGTGACATGAATTTCATAAGCCATAGAGTCCAAGCTTTGTTCGTGACATGACTAGATGGTAATAACACGTAGCAATATACCAAAATTGTTTTATTTTTAGTACTTTTGTTGACTGAAGTTATCGTTAATGTGACCATGTTAATGTATAGAGATATCTAAAAAAGAAAAAAACCCAATTAAACAGATAAACACAGGGAAGGAGAGGGGAAAAGAGAAAAAGAAAACTTACCTAAATGTAGCCATCGTCGACACAAGGACTTATTTTTATAACATTGGCGGTGGCACAGCGGCTTGTCTTAATAACATTGGCAGTGGACAGTGGCTTGTCTTAATAACACTGGGAGTGGCGCAATGGCTTGCCTTAATAACATTCGCAGTGGCACAGTGGCTTGCCTTAATAACATTCGCAGTGGCACAATGGCTTGCTCTTCAATTAAATTTGTGTGTAAATGATCAATTAACGTTCTGTTGTCGGTTGTAAAGCCTGTTATCAGTTGCCTGTAATGATTTTGTACAACCATCAAATTGTAGAGTGACTGTCGATCAGCTTCTACCATCCAGTTGACATTGAAATCTCCAATTATAATGTTTTGTGCAGAAGAATCTTCATCAAGTATGCTACGTAGTGAAGACAGTAGACGTGATATAGCAATATTGGGTGAACGATATACTCCAATTATATTCAGATGCGGATTACGTTCTGTTTTAATAATTGTAAACTCGATTCCATTGACGTTGTGAGCATAAGGGTATCCTTCTTTTAAAGGGACTCGGCTATAAACAGCTGTTCCACCGTATGGACGTCCTGGAACCCGTACCTTGGGAAACATCATTTCTGAACAACCTGTAGCCATCAATGTTGTATATATCGTCAGTTTCTGAGGAGTTAAACCTTGTTTCAGTAAATATCACAATATCCATAGACGAGTAATTAATGTCTTTCCGAACATCTTCAATGTGTTTATGCAGAGATCTTGCATTGAGGTAACAAACTTTCAAATCAGATCGATTCAACATATAAAGTGGTTTGAAACAAAGATTAAAACTTTGTTCGGTTCTTAAGATTTCCATTTCCTTGACAACTCTTTGATCAACAGATATCTTGTCTTCACATAGGTCAGTGATGTATAATCCTTCTATTGTTGTAACTCGACCTAAAGCAACATAATGAATGTGAGGAAAAGCCCTGTTGCTGTTTAAGTTTACAACAATCTGTGTTTGAGTATCACCTTGTGATCTATGGACAGTTTTTGTTTGATGCTGGTCGCAATGTAAACTGTTTTCTAACAACTTGAGCAGATTTCGTTCTACCGACTGGAAATTGGGTTGTGACAGGTTTAATTGGTGTCCATGTGCTTTGAATTCCTCTGACATAAAGCGTTCTGTTTTCTTGACGAGTTTTTCTATCAACATCCTCATAATCAAATTGGACCCAGATAAGACCCGAAGGTTTATTCTCATCAGTGAGCTGTATCAACTTTATAATGTTACTTGCCCCATTTGTAAGACCATCATCAGTTCGCACATTTGTTGCAACTTCTGTACGTTGCCCAACAGCAAGTTTTAACTTGTGAGCTAACTGTTTAGAATTTTTTAACGGAACATAAGGTATTTGCCTCATTACTTTTTCCTTAAGTTCAGCTGAAGCTGCTCCAATAACACTATCTTGAGCTTTAATTGTATATATATTATCCGTAAATGATTCATATACTTGTTCATTATATTTGTCTACTAAAGCATTTTGAATAAACAAGCGTGGAGCTTCTTGAGGACAATTCGATTCCTGAACGCATCTTTCCTTCAGCTTTTGAAGATCAGTAGTTAATTGTATGTTTACCTTCTCGTAACCTGTTTAAGATTTCAGCAAACATTTTACTTTCTCTTTGTCGCATAATCTCATCAAGTTCAAACATTCTAAAATATTTTTTCCATAAATTTGGAGCAAGAACACTATAATAGTTTAAAGACTGGAGATCAGTGAAAATGTAGCCATCCATGACAGGTTTAAGGGACTGGTCATAAAGTAACTGCTAGGGTGGGCTGGAGGTAAATCACAAATTTTGCCAATAAGTTTGGTGACCCATCTTAGGATGTAGATAAAAATTTCAAAGCCCATCCAATCTTACCAATTTTATTTCATGACCCATCCACCCAATCTAAATTGGGAAAATACACTTTTATAATGAAAAAAACTTCCAGGTATGAACATATATCAATACAGTCCCGGTGTATACCTTTATTTTTGTATCTGCGAAGCACATTAGTATTAACGTTTATACCCATAGCCATTCAGCGACGAGCTTGTATAATTAAGCCAATATTAGCTTACATCAATTGTTTACATCCATTGAACTATAAATAACTACTAATAATAGTTAATAATATAATAATAGTTTGTTATTTATAGTTCAATGTTTACATCGTGCTCGCACCTAACCTGCGAACGGGCGTAGTTTGGCCTTGTGTAAGTCGTGTACTCATGTTATTCTTTGCCATATTTTGGCTTCAAACATATCTTGATTTTATCTTGAATTGGCTGTCTTGTTTTCACCATTCTACTTGTAATATTATTCCAAAGTTATCTATCAACATGGAAACTTATCCTCATCTAGTAAGTAGCCAAATACCACATTTTATTATAGACATTTATACAGTATAAAAACAATCATTGTGTAATATTTTAAACAGTCAAAACTCTGGCTGCAGACATAATTGCCAATTAACAATATCACAAGAAACTAATGTTCTCAGGAGATATTGAATTAAATTCTGTAACTCTGTTCAAAACAACAGTCCAACTAAGTTGTCATCAAATGTAGTGTTAGAGCAAAGGTAATTTAATAAAAAGATGTCATCAGTTAAAATTATACTTTATATACATTTTGGTTTTACACAATAGAGTTAATTAATCAATATTGTTGCAACCATTTTCAAATGCTAATAAAAGAATCCCTACCCTTCCTCCTCATTACATTGTCATTTTGCTTTCTAATATAAATGTTTTTGTTTAGAGATTAATACAAGAATGATGAATACATGTACTGATCTACTGGATATTGGCTGGATAATTTTGTCAGAACAACCCACTTGCAAGACAATCTTACCTAAATTCATCAGTATGGAAAATAACTTAACAGCTACAATAATCATATATTATATGGATGGATCAGATCAATGGCACACAATGTACAAACCTAAACTTGTGATACCTTCTACTGTACTCAAACAGATATTCTCCCACAACACAAATTGTTTTTGTGTGGATATGCTGAGTTAAACTGAACAGTGTGGTATATCATTAACTGTGCACAGGGTTGGAATGGAATTATATACTTCACTCATGACCTTCAAAACATTCTCTACTATTCAGTGCATGGTCTTCGATATATGATTGACTCTTTGCTACAGTAATGCATGTTCCTCGAATAGTGTGTATGTTACTCAACAGTTGACATTGGCAAGTGTAAACAACAAGTGACAGAACTTTTGCTTCATATGATCACAATAAAGTTTTGAAAATTCGACGAGTATGGATTGACAAGTGACAATTTACTAAATAGCCGGCTGTATAGACACTTATTGCTTGCATGAAATTTTTATTTCCTGACTGCATAATTATCCGTTACAAGCATAATCACATTATAAAATTAGTTAAATTTTCTCGGTGGGGGCAGTTGCCCCTGCTGCCCTCTGTGCAGTGTACAGCCCTGTTAGATTTGTATTATGTTTGATTTTAAAATCTTATTTGCTATTATATTTATCATAACAAGTGATGAAAGCAGGGAAGCTTGTAAAAGTTAGGGGGGACAACTCCCACTAGGCACCACCATGGTTGGCGCCGAGCCCCCCCCCCTGGCTTCTTACGCCCCTGGATGAAAGTAGATATGGGTTTTTGTTTGGTGGCCCAACCGTAGACATACAAAATAATTGGCGGCCCATCCAAACTGCCCAAAGATTTTCCATGGCCCATCCCAAATCACTCCGGCCCACCCTAGCAGTTACTTTATGACCGGTCCCTAACATAGCAACAGCTTTCGAGAGCTTTCGAACAAGAACAATGGCGGAAAGATCATGAAACGAATACGAAAATGGCAACTATATTTTGTAAAATTTGCCTATCATGGCCTCTAAAATAGCAGTCTTATGATCCTCAAAAACAACGTATTTTAAGATATTATGGAACCCACTAAACGAGACAAAAATGGCATAAAATCTAGCGTGAACAGAAGTATCGTTATTCGGAAGTATATTCTGATGTTCGCATGGTTGAAAAATCTTGCAAGTATGGCCATAATTTCAGCTCCAGAATACAAAATATGGTCAATTAGTGGACTTTATACAGTGAATAACAGGTATATGTTGACGAGAAGCTCGGGAACCCATTCAGCCTGATGGTATTGTTCCGAAAATTTAACAAATAATATATTGTGTAATTTGGTAATGTTTCAGATGTTCGCATGTTGGAATTTACAATCATAAATTGCTAAAATTCATAATTTTGTGTATTTTCGCTTAAATCTTATACTAAAGACGCCATTTTGGATTAATTTCTAAGTACCCAATGTGTGTGAAATTTCTAGTACCCAATGTGTATGAAATTTCTAGCCATTGAAACGTTCACGTTTTTAGTCGTGTTTCTACAAGATTTAAAAAGTGATTATATGTAAACAGAAAAATATTCCAGTTTCATAGCCTAATTGTTCATTTTTAGCAAAAAGTACAAAACCAAATATGAAACAAAAAAACGCGGCCACCTGTTATTCTGTTAATAGGCTGTTCAATCAACTTTATTTCAATCAACTTTATTAATGAGGATAAACGCACGACAGTGAAACTGATAAACCAGCGGCCCTCCTAACAAGGTTGCTGCGGCTATACATATTTATGTTTATTCTATGATTTCTATCTTTCCAACTTGTAAAATCCATTCCCTCGCTTTTCCTTGAAGAGTTAAAACAACTTAATGTATATTAAACTACTTTCTCCGAACTTGTGAGTCGATCTGCTCTGGAACCAAACCGTTAAAAATTTGAATTATAGCCATTTATTCTATTAACATATTTTTGTACTTATATAGTTCCCAGCAGGGTCTTACCTTCGCACGCCCTCATAGCCGCGGCTTTAGAAACGTTTGGCAATATTTTACTCGGCGAATTTTGTTGAAGTTATGTCTTGCCCAAGTTCGCCCGGCGTTACAGTTGCCTACCTTGGTGTTCTTTGTAGTGGGTAATATTAGATGATAAACAATATAGGCCGGGTTCAACGAAATGACCTGGAAATCGACGAAAAGTGAATGACACAGTAAACAAGTAAATCCACCAATATTTTGAATCAGTGCGTATTTAGGCATTTAAATATTTTACAGTATTTTACAATATATAAAGTGTGTATTAAATCACATTCTCATGATGTTTTTATATCATTATAGCAAACTAAAATCACCCCTAAATCACATAGAAAAGATTAAAGGAAACTACAGTAAGTTAATCACTATTTAACTACAAAATAGTGATTAAAAAAGTGATTAAGAGTTTTATACAACCGGCCCCAGGATGTCAAAAAAGCAAAACGCATGCGTTATACATAATACATCTTTGCTTCAACTTACCTTGAGACCCTGGCGAGCACACAATTTTGAATTCACCAATAAGTTTTATTGTATATATCATCAGGCAAATATGAAAGATCAGATTCAGAATTATTGAGAATAAATTGTATTTGAATCCTCTTTTCCGCCATTTTTCATTAACATATTTAACAGACACTGGATGTCCTAAACAAATCTCGCTTTCATTTTCCATCATAGCAACGAGAGCTTCAAACTGTGGATATGGGCAGCCGTCTTTATCTAATAAAAAATAGAAAAGGCAATGGACGACTTGCATTCATGTTAGACTAGTTTTAATCTAAGTAAAGAGCAGGGAATCAAACACCACAGCTAAAAAGAACGATCTTGTCTAAAAGTACACACGAGTGACCACGAATGACCACGAGTGACCACAAGTGTTTTCTGTGTTCAAAAATCATAAAATAATAATAAAAACTATTTTAAGGTGGCTCCCTAGGGTTTTTGCATTATATCACACTATAGTACCCAGAAAACTCCTATTTCTTCACTTTGCATGACGTGAAGACAATTTATTGGACACATTGACAATGCTCTCCTGAACATTGCAATTTGCTACTTTTGTGCTGAAAGTCCGTTACCATGACCGGTCCCTAAGTTCAAATTAATGAGTAATTTCAGTTCGGTGTTGAAATTAATTTGCTCTCCTTTACATTTTAATTAAGTTTTTTTTCTTAAACTAAACATGGTAATTTCGGAAAGGAAGCAGTGCATTGTTACGCAATAAATTAAAGCAACAAAATTCGTAAACATTAAACATTCAAAGCAAATTTGCCCTATATTTCACATAGTCTAAAATAATTTCTTCTTATTTCTTCAAGGCAAAATTGCTTGAAACCTCGCTGTGTAAAACGATTTTCCAAATATATGTTTTTGAAAATTGAATACTTGCTTATCCCACTCCTGGCAAACAGCCATATTTTTTATACAATTGAGGAGGTCCACCCTTGGCTTGGATCAAAGCCACAGTGAGCACTTGTTTCCATCTACCAAACTGACATGACATCATCTTCGGAAGTTGGAAGAGGTGTAAATGGCTTTGTAACTTACCCAAACCCTACACCAGCTACTTTAACCCTAACCCTAACCCTAACCCTAACCCTAACCCTAACCAAAATAATAAATCCAAACAGAATCAACATTAGAAATTGATCAAATGACGTAACGTCAGTTAGTTGACGGTTGGAAACGAAAACCCGTAGCCACGCGCCCGCGATTATTGATGAACTTTAGACTTCCTTTCCCATGACGAGCCAGACGGCTTCAGATTGTCGAATTGTCGAATCTCCAGATGTCGAATTTCAATCTGGGCTGGAACGACTAGTTTTTAAACAAACTGCTTCGGGCACTTAACCACCGATGGATACCATAAACCTCCGACCATAAGCCCTGGGCTTATATACTTTCGTAAGCGATTTTTGATGGGCTTATACAAGGGTGGGCTTATATACGGGGAGGGATTATACATGGACGACCTTTTTGTGTTAGTGTAATAGCGATAAACAAGACTTAGTGTCAAACAAGCATAGCAAAAATAGTGATTAATAGTGGTAATAGTGATAAACAATAGTGATAAACAAGTGGGCTTATATTCGGGTATTGTCACGAAATACTACAATTTAAAATAGGGTCTCTGAACTACCGATTTCACCGAACGGTCAAGTTGCTCCGCAAAGATCGCCCCTTTGCCCAATTTTCATAGAGTAGATCATCATTATGTATACTTTAACATAAACGAATGAAAAAACTGGTGATAGAGGATAGATTTTTAATAAAATACGAATATCTGTATACAAGATCTGAGCGTTATTATGAAGCACTCGATACTTTCTCCAACAACATATTGCGCTTAATTTTTTACAAAATTAAAAATATTCACATATTAAAGATATGAAAATGTAGCTTGCCAATTACAAAGAAATGTTAACTTACCTAAGTTATACCTTACACGTCGATTAAAGTCAAGTAAAGCCCTTTCAAAGACGTGTGCCACATTAAACTACAGGTCACATGACGGTAGAGAACTCGACGAAGTATTCAGGATATTTCATAGCCAGTTTAAACGCCGTTGTGTACTATTCCTGGGAATTATGATGTCCAACACACCGGGTAACAAAGTTTACCACTTTGTTCGGCTGTTCCAAGTACACTTTTAAGATACAAGGTCCGATCATATCATGTTCTTCGAAGCATCTGCTCAAAACGACTCAACATAAATATCGCCACTCACCTTCTTCGTATGAAAATATAAGTTTTCCTTTCAATTGCTTTGCAGTCATTAGGTTGTTGAAGAGTTAGCCTTACCCTGGAACCAGAGGGTATTTATTTTCGCCTGTTTTGAATAACCCTCTGGTGAAATTGGCCTAGTTTTTGGGTTCACATTCCACGCATAACTTTCAAAAATGGAAGCAAAGAGTTGATTGGCTGCTGACTATAGGTTCGATAGACTACGTGTTCTGATTGGATATTGTAAACATCATAGCCTGTTCGCAGGCGTTTCGAGTTTTGATTGAATTGAAACATTTGAATTTTGAAATGTCTATATTATTAAATAAACGAACAAAAGTTGAAAGAAGCAGTTTTATAGGCTGCATTAATAGATAGATTGATAAATTTCCTGAATTAAAAGATTAACGGAGCATCAATACCGCGCCTTGTCCAATTTGATTCACATTAAAGATGTATTTGCATCTTGCTATCGGTTATGGGAAGAGTTTAATATTCCAAAGTTCTAACACCGAGAGTAGCACGACGACTTGGCAAAAGCCACAATTTTCTGGAGAAACCCATCTTAATAGTCATTTGCAAATTGAACTCTTTCATTGACTCTCACGTCCGTGAACTAAGAAAGCGTGAATGCCGTGTTACTTCACTGTCAAACGAAGAGGACGAGAAAGCAATACTAGATGGAGAGTTTACATTCGCATTTTGTAATCCCGAGTCTATTTATATTCGAAATGCGAAATGGAGAGGAATGATTTCATTTGAAATCTACAAGACAAATTTGCTTGCTTTTGTATTAACAGACAAAGTTCACGTCGGCCCAAAGAGGTGTGTTTAATAAATTTATAAAATACAGATTTTTTTGGATGTATATTGCAAGATTAAAGTGAATGAATATAAATATATATTTATATTAAATTGAATAGATGTGATGTTTTAAATTGAATGAAATTCAGGAGAATGAATATTGCGACAAATGGACAGGCATACACTGGACAGTATAAACATGCGATAAAACCCTGTCTAGACGGCCTGGTGTCAAGGATAATGATTGGATAATATTTTTAGAATATGATGCATTAAGCCATTATACATTTTTTGCATTCTTTATCCGAACCAGGAATCGCTAACAAATTCACCAGAGGTTTTTCCTTTTTCTTCGCGCGTTTTCTCGCATTTCGCCTATAACTTCCAACAAAAAACCCCGATGCTTTCAAAAACCAGTGAATCACAATGCTGAAGACTTCAACATCCTTAGAAATTGTAAGCCAAACATCGAAAAGCAACTTCGCGGGAAAAAGCTCACGAGCCCGCACTATTTTTATGCAGCGTCGACGAAAGTCCCCACTATACTAGCAGAGGGATTAGCCTTGATACATTATAATAGGGGTCACACGAAGTATATACCCTTTGCGATCTATCCGACCGCTGACCATCCCCTTTGTCAGAAGAAACAGTGATCTTTTACAAGCTACCATGGACGAACGGAATAATGTTTTCATTATCCATCACGTACTAAGGAATATGAAAGAAAAAATGGTATTTCAAAAAAATGCAATGTCTATTGGTGGTCAAGCGGCCAAAGAAGTTTGTTTACAAACTAGTCGTTCCAGCTCCAGGTTGAAATTGTATTTGGAGCTGGCTCCAGATTCACCAGTCTGGAGCCGTCTGGCTCGTCATTCCTTTCCACGGGTGTAAATAGTAATATCCTAGCACCGAGCTTACGCCCAGAACGGAGCGCTCAGGGGGATAAGAATTTATACATGAAAAATAATTCTTGACAAAATCAACAATGTAAACCAATGGAGAAACACGCAAGTAATTACTTATCAAGACAATTTCACGGAAATGTATACCTCTAACTATTTCCGATTCTCAGTGTATATTGCCTCTACTCCTTTGTTAGGAAATAAAAACGTGTGAAATGCTTGACGTTTGCTTGCTTGCTCGTCCCATTAATTTCAATCCTAACTCATGCGTTCCATTCCATTCCTGGCAATCGCCACATTTTTTTAAATCAGTGGGAGGTCCACTTATGAACCATATTAGTGATGAACTTCAGACTTCGCTAATGCTTCCCTTTCCCCGGTTTTAAATAGCCGAGCGAAATTAGTACGCCTCGTTACGCGCTATGCTCGTGACATGCAATGAGATCAATGACCGTCACCGTGCACAAATTAACATCCATAAACTCGGACAAAAAGTCAAAAACATAATAAAAATGACAGTCCCCCCTTTCCCCCCTCCCCATATATCCTTCCAGGCTAAAGTTTGTATTGAATTAAAGCCCACAAAATGCATAATAATATACTTGCAGTATATATTTCGTAACTGATTCATTGTTGTATATTTAAAAGTACTAATTTTTAGTTAAAAGTACTAAAAGTACTAACTTTTTGCCATTTAGCACAAAAAATGAAATATTTTAAAAATTTTATTAAGAATGATCGTGTGGCAAAACGTGATTGATGCATAATGCGAGCCTGTATTCGGTGTTGGCCAATTGTTCACAAAAACTTTATGATAAATCAATGTTTGAAAATATAGGCGAGGAGTTGCTGGATACATATAAATCTAGTATCTTGCGGAAAACTATGTTTATAGTCTGGCCGGTAAAACAACCGATCGAACCGGCAATCAGGAGACAATCATGTGTTCGATTCCCATTGAGAACTACAATATACTTATTTACCTGCTCCTTCTAAGCAAAAGAAATCATAAATGACTTTATAATCACGAGCGTCTTTAGATCCTTCAGTAGTTACACATTTGTCTAATAACTTCTTCGCCATTTGAGGCATAGTTTCAATCATAACTTTCAAACATCCTTCAGGGCCGTAATGTGATCCACTCACCACCTGAAATAATTTTCAAGGAATTTAGTCTAATAAGAAAGTCTACTTCTTCTGGCCCAAAATTTGTCTTACTGTACGTCTTTGCGATAATTTTCCGTGCGGAGCGGAATTTCTCGTTGTCTTGTGATTTCTCGGGTGGAACCAGGGCGTTTATAAGATAGGGCGGCGAAACGAGCATAGGAGCCCTGATATGTCTGTGATGCAAGGGACCCCCTCTCTCCTCCGCAGAGGCTTTAGGTTTCTTAGGATTTAATATTACGGATGAGATACATTTCAATACACTTTACATGGCGGATCTTGGAACACGAGCGTAGCCGCTGGGCGAATGAGCATTAAAGCCTCTGCGGAGGAGAGAGAGGGACCCCCCAAATATTCGAACACATGCGAGTAAAAATGGCGGAAGCTCAAGCTGAAATGGAAGAGGAAGATTTTGATTTAATTCTGATCTTAGTTTAGACGATGGCGAAAAGGATGATAAAACATCCCCTGTTATTCGACAGTCGACTGATGCTTTCACTATCAATGAAGTGATCGCAGTTCTCGAGAGGATTTCTTCCAGCACGATAAAATCCGAAGCTGAAATAGCCACAACAACATTGCGAAACACGCGCGGGAAAAAAGATTTTGCCACCTTGGATTGCTTTGTGTCTGTATTTGTCGAGGCTTTTAATCAGTGCAATGGTTCGGTGAAGAAGTTTAAAAGCGACAGCGTACGGGCTATTAGGTTGGAGGAAAAGTTTGCCACTCTGAGAAATGACAAAGTGTGATCAATCTATTTGATGATTGGAAACGGCTTGCAGGAGATGTCCATAGTTGAGACCTCTGTTGTGGTGAAATGAAGGGGGTTTTTTTTATCACTGTTAAACTGCTTGGACCACTTACTATTTAATTTGAGCATAATAGCCTTTTCAAACATTTGGTTAACATAGTTTAATATGTCATATTCTTTGTTTTAGGCAGCATTCTGCTTTGTTTAATATCTAGAGGCCCTGTTGCATGCAGTGAGACTTCAATTGATGTAGCAATGAATTCATTGTTGTCTCATCAAGTTGTTCCCCTTGTAAGACTGGAGTGAGTAGGTGATTGGATTGTTCTAGGAAACATCTCACATTATTCTGGTAGAAGACCCATCTGCATGTACCTTCTGTTTTTCCAAAACCCTTCACTTTGTTTGTGTAAACTTGATGAAAATAGTTTTGAATACTGTGAATACTGTATTTCACACCAAAAATTTGAATTGGTAAATTATGTCAATTATTGCATCATATTTACCAGGTGCATAGTTTTTGGTGAAGGGTGCCACTGGAAACACAAGGGTCATCATAGAATAGAGTATTATAAAATAACATGTATATAACGTGTGCTCTGATTGGACTAAGCCTGTGTTTAGATCAGGCCATCCAAACACGGAAACTATAAAGTAATTGTATAGTAGCTCCTCTTCACGCAATGGAGAGTTGTTAACAAACTGTACAGGGGGTGGTTGGAATGAGATTATCTTTAGAGTTATCGGACACTGAAGGGGGAAATAGTGCTGTAAATCGATTGTTTTGTGTGCATGTGTCACTTAAGTTAGCAGGTGTAGAACAAGGGCCGTAGCTAGCATGTATAGTTGGGGGGGGGGGGGGG